AACATTTTTTTTCTTGTCCCTGGGCGCAGAACCCACAAGGCAATTTTCTAGGTTTGAATGCAGTGAGCTGCAGGATTGATGCTGATTTATTTTCATTCATTTCCGAAATTTTCGACAGTGAAACCGATCCCAACCGTCTTTGGTCCATTACTTCTCAGTGATATCAGTATAAAAGCTGTCAGGCGTATAATGTTTATTATCGGAGATTCAATAATAAATTTTAAGTTTGCTTGTTACTGTATATTGTGTGTGTTTGGTTTTGTTTGTTTTTTTTAATGGTGTAGATTCTTAATTAAAACTGTATTTTTGAGCCTACGTGTTATTTTTTAATTTTGCAAACTGTGTAAATTTCCTGTGTTTTAATCCTGCAAAATAAATAAATAAAATGAAATAAAAATAAAATATGTTGCAAAGATTTGTCTCTATCAACATGAGGCCCACGGTCTGGATAAAAAAATCTACAACCATCGTTGATTGAACTTTTCATTTGGTGATTAATATTAATCTGCTTCCAAGTTGATACGATTTTGTTACAAATAAACTTACCATAATAGTTATAAAAAGTCCTAACGTCAGCAACGATTTGATCTGGCTTAAATTCAGAATTCATGTTTCCCCTTTAAATAGTTTGGTTTCTTCTGTAGCAACTCGATCAAATTCGCCTTAATCTAAATAAGATTTAACCGCACGTATATAATCAGATCTGGTAAATCGACTGCGTCGTCCTGTGGGTAATAACTGTTATTTTTTTTTATTCAACAAGACGTTTGAGATCTTCCTTTTTATGTCCCGTGATAATCGTTTAATATTTTAGGTAATTTTGGATAACTTTGACAAAGTCTGTTTCGAAATATCGACGCGTATTTCGATTTCACATTGACTCCACGATCTAAGCTTATACGGTATTGAAATTTTATTCATCTCTTATATCACTTTATATCATTATTCATATAATACCTATTCGTTTAAGACAATATCACATTTTTATTGGACTCTAGTTTTAAAAGGAAACTAGAGTCCATAGATGACTAATTCAATGCAAGTTAATATAAGTTAAGTATATAAGTTAATGTTTTAGCTCATAAGGATGGAGTGTGTAGGGTAATTCATCAGCTATAATGTCATCGCCATCGCTATCGTTATCGCTAAATCCTCCCAATGCTTTGGGATCTGTCTCCTTTGAAATTATGGCTTTGTTGATTTTTTGTTCTGTAACGGCCGTTTCAACTTTAAATCTTACACTTGCCCAATAAGACATTGTTCCATGCGCTCCATAAAAGATGTCATTAACGCTAATTAACGATTTAATGGTACATGGAGAACCATCATACGCACCTTAAATTCATCAAAATCCATTAGGTTTTTATTTTTATCATAAATAGGAGTGAGATTTTAAAGCTTTTGTCCTTACGTTTTGAGAGTAATTTAGCGTATATACGTTTAAGGCTCTCTTGATTAACAACTTTACACTTAGTAAGGGGATTAGGCTTTTTGCCATATCCAAAAATGGGTTTAACAACCGATTCTATTTTTCTCATCATTTTATTTTTGCTCCTGTTATATGCATTATATGAGACATGTGGAATAGTATACAATAGATTTTTTCGATTGCAAAGCAACACATTTATATGCCTCATTATTAATTTTGGCAAGGACATTTATATCTTTTTCCCAAAAAATAACATATTTGATGACCAATTACATCTTTGACATCGTGCGACCCAAATTGAAAAACTGGCTGAACACCATAGCATAACGTTTCAGGCTTCATAATTAAAAGTTTGCATTTTTCATCTTTGTATAGATAATACATTGGGTGAAAAACATTGCGTTACATAGCTCATCTTTCTTGTTACCAGTTCTTCTTTCTTGTGACCAGATTCTTTGGATCATAAGACCCATAAGCAAAGTTTGGATCTTTACAATTTTGATTAAGCAATTCGCGGTCATTAGTTACAAATATCTTTCGATAGTCATTGTTTTATTTTTTAACTTTATTTTTTTTTAACTTTAGTAATATTTGTTTAAATCCAATATCACTTTAGGTCTACATAAATAACATTGCGAAATATGTTTTTGGTGGTTACAAATCAGAGCTTCGTGACAATCGCATATTTGTTTTGTCTTTCCGTGTGGACGGACGGGGCGACACTTGACATTTGTATTAATAAATTCCATGTTTACAATTAAGATACTTGAAACGTTTTTCTCTACAAAGATAGCAATGCGCAATATGCTCACCTGTTTTACTTAAAGTTTAATTTCACTGAGTGGTTTTTCCCTTTGCATCGTTGACAACATTTAGTTTCTTGAGTTGTTGACACACTTGTTATTTTCAACGGTCTTTAATATCATATATCATTTATTTATTTATTTAGTGATATAAATATTTGTCGCCCGCACCTAAGTTATGAGTAAGGCGATAAACAACCACAAACCGACGTCACCTCCTAAATATTGTATGATAACACCGACCGAGCAAATCCTGTACGCAACACCGTCTGCACCAAAGTTATGAGCAAAGCAAAGTTATGAGGTGGGCTGGGTAGGGACCCAAGGGGATATACATATATCACTTTAACCCTTGGGTAGCTATAGGAGGAAAATAATGACCAGCTCCACCATTTCCAATACTACTTGAGGGCGCTGGTGCTGTGACGTCATCCAGGTAACACATTGCTCAGTGCATAGGGTTTTTTTGTAAAACTGTGAGCCCACAGTTGATGCTCGGTAATGGCATTCACACGAACAATGAATCAGCGAAGTGGACATTTAATGGAACAAATCTCTAAAAATGGAGAACATTTTGAGTACAAAGCAATATGGCATTTAGCCTTCCTGTGATGGCAGCACAGTTTTCTTCATGAATATGGAAATCCTCATTTGCATAAAATCTAAGGGTTTGCATAAGGTGTACTATCATTGTTTATACATGTACGTGTACATGCTGTCCTGGACACGTTGACTACGACGTTGGGGTACCTTACCGGACAGTATAGGCTGCAGCAGTGGAAGCAGTGAACAGAAAATGCCTCTAATATAACGATTCTAAGTTATCATACGGTATAAACATGAATAATGGTATGCTTTTACAGGAAATTATCCCACTGTCCCAATTTGGTGAAAATATCGTAATCTATTCAAACTTATTTTGAACTGGAGTGCACTGTTTTGGTATTATTTGCAGTTTTAGTCGAAAATCGAACTACTTTCAACCTCTAGAATTCTAACAGTGGATTACTAGTTCAAAAAGGATTAAAATAATGTGTTGAAAATAACAATTTTAGCCAACACCAGAATGTTGAAAGAAACAAACGCCTAAAGAAAAAAATGGGAGTAACGCATCCTAGGTAGTTAACAATCGGTCTCCGATCTCCACTCTCGTCAATGTTTAGGAATGGGCAGCTTCGTCGTGCGTAAAAGCGACCTGCAATTGAGGAAATTTTTTAGAAGTGAAAGAGTTTCGATACAAAAACGACCCCGCCCGGGGCGCTAACCCCAACAGTAAGGTCCATCTCTTTGTGTGCGTGTTAATGTGTAAACGCCTTCAATCGTGGACCTACAACAATAGGGGACAATAGGGTCCACGGTTGCCCAAGAGTCCACGGTTGGAAAACGTGTACAAAACATATGGGAGGTCATGAACAAAAGATGAACAATAGAGAGTCCACGATTGAAGGCGTTTAGGAACTTGTGTGTGGGTGTGTGTATGTATGTGTAGGGGGAGGCTAATGGGACTATCCCCTGGAAAAAAATAATTCCTGCCACATTAAATTGAAAACTTCACCAAGGCAGCGCTTCAACTTGTGGGGTCAGTGCAGACCAGATCTTTTCTAGTCAATGGGTTCGCTATGGGCCGGAGTGGGTTTTTGAAAGAGTGCCAGTCGGGTCGGGTCCTTCTATGGTCATACCCAGCCAGGATCGAGGCAGACAGAGTGGATCCTGTCTTGTCATGATCAGGCCATTGAGACGTTGCAAACCCATGGACTCGGACTTGGCTCCAACGGCTGAAACGTCCCTTGTGAGAGCATAGGAAACAGTGTGTAACCCACTGACGTAAATCCCGTGGGGAAGGGGGTATATAACCGCCACCCACTTTTGAGGTGGAAAGATGGGCTATCCAATCACCTCTCTCCCTTTCTCGTGGTGGGCACAAATAAAAGTGGATTATGAAGATTTTTTCAGACTTTCAAGGACTAAAATGAATTCAATATTACTCAAACAAGGGAAGCAATTTAACAGTCATAAATATGCTATTCTGAATACAAATTACAGGTGTACAGTAATATCATGAAGATCGACCTCTATAGAGTCATATCGTGTCACTCCTACCCCCCTGCTTTTCAAATTTTCACCGGACCCCCCCCTTTCCCAGTCCCCCAATTTCTAGCACAAATTTACGCCACCGGTATGGCCAGTTTTTTGCACGGCCATTAGCGGTGACCTTAGCAACTGGCAAGAGATGGCGTATTACTCGGCATGACCAAACCTGAAGAAAAGAAAACATGATGGTCCTACATACAGTGAAGTTTCCAGGGTAGTCACCCGTCATTAGCAGCATCTGGCTGACCAGCAAACGGTCCCCATTATTGCCAATCTTGAAGGTCCCAGTCAAACCTATCACCATACACAAACATGAAAAGGCCTGATCCATTAATTCCACTGCTACGGCTTGGGGATAGCATTGGGGGTATTAAAAAAACATTTAAAGGAGAATCTTAAGTCCCGTTGTATACAAAGGCAATATTTATTCCTTGACGCATTACCATCTATAGTGACTCAACAACAAACCGATAATGGGAGGGAATTTCAAATGCGTGAGCTGTTGCTATACCTTCAAACATTCGGTTACACATCTTTTTAGTCACTGCTCTGCCATCCCTCACATCGCCGCCCTCTGCCACGATCTCATTGATGACGTCTGCATACATCAGAACGGTATCATGAGTGGCCGCAGCCAGAACGCTATCCTGCGGGTAGAAAGCATACTGACTTTATTCTGCATGTGTGTTTTTACCTCAAGCCTGAAAGGGATGAAAGATTTCAGTTTAATAAGAGCAACACCGCCTAGTACTTGGCAAATTATTTTACAAATGCCCCGAAATAATTGGTGTATACATGTACTCTAACACAGACTAAATAAACACCTTTAAAACGATTTTTTGGAAAGTGAAGACTGCCCATGCTTAAAGTAGTACTTGTCTTCACATTGTCTGCGCCATTATGAAATATATATTTTTTTCTGTACGCTGAGAAGGTGAGGAAGTAATTCTGAAGAAATCCCGTTTCAAAGGAGGAAAACTTTGTTCCCAGGGTAATTTCATTTTCAGCTTTGTTCCAGGAGTACCGGCTCTGCAACCTCTTCCGCTCCTAGGTTAGGTAACTCAGTGTCAAATTATATACAATATACATAGCGTTATATTGCTTCTAAGGTATGGGCTAATCCGAAAAAATCATCGTTATATTGGCATCATTATAAACGCTCTGGCTTAAACTTGAGGGGTGTCAGGCAATGGGTTTATTGTTTTCGCTGTGACATCACTGGAAAATCCATTGATTTGTGCACAAACATGGGTGCACCCTCGAGGCTTTATTTTACAAGTTGAGTTAGCACTCTAGTAAGGCAGTATCAACCGCAGTAATGACCTCTAATTCCAACTGAATGTTTTCACGTTCTTCCATCAACCTTTCAGGAATTGTTTTTTTTTCTGGAACCTCACCACCATCTTACGTTGAGCGTGTGTTTGTTAAACCAGACACTATTAATTTCAGAGGACTGCAACATACCAAACTACTTCAAATTAAAATACAAAACTATAAATATGCAAAATATTCATTAACAGTTACTGATAGTTAGCCCGCATAGTCGTGGGGTGCATCGTTAGACACCTTGGGAAAAAAGCTTCACGGATCGGTTTATCAATTATTGCCGTACATGGGAAACGATTCGTTAGTCTTACTGTGCATGCCTCAGGTAAGGCCTACTGAGTTATTGGGCAGCACTAGTAAATGCATCCCAAGTCCGGAATTTCATGAAAGTTTAAATTTCACATTACATTTACGTGTTCCAAAAACAACAGATGCTGGCATACCTCGACCTGAGTCTTGCCGTACAAAGTCTGCTGGCGTTCCTGTAACTTCCTTTGAAATTGCTGGTACGTTTCGTCGAACTTCGGAAGCTGTGGGCGCAAGACGACTAACGCCTTCATGGCCTCTGTCTCTTCCTTGTTAAGGTTTTGAAACTAAAACGAGTAGGGGAAATGCACATTAACTGGGCGGTTGGTGGAAAATTGCTTTGTAACAATTATAGTTGAACTGTGATGTTTGAGCGGCATCAAGACGGTGGACATGAAAAATGATTGGCATGTATCAGAGAAAAAAAATCAACAAAAGATTATAACAAGTGCATTTAGGGTTTGGTCAGTTCGTAATTCTGCAGGGATGTATACCTACACTGAAACAAAGCTTGCCAATTTTTCTCTACAAATTAAGCATTGCGCTCTCATTTTCAGTTCCTTAAGGCTTTGTACACTCGTTTTGCAATCCTCCAAGGGCAGTTTTATAGCCTATCTTTGTCTAATATGTTGTGCAGAATATTTGCTTACTTTGTTTCAGTCGAGCTAAAATTGCTGAAACCCGAAGAATTATGGTATTTCTACGCCAGAAATGCACTCAGATCAGTTTCATGAAAAGCAATAACGTCAGACGCACTCGTATACAAATTAATTATAATTGTAATTGGACCTATTATGATCTGACACTTAATGTTATAAAATGTGAAAGTGTGTCTACTATTGTAAAATGCCTAGAATAACTCAGACTAGGATTCACATAGAATGGGGCTCAACTTTCCTCCTTGTGATGTTTTGAAAATGTTATTCCTTGTTTAATGTTAGTGGCCTACATCTTAAGGTTGGGAGACCCCCTAGAATTTAAAAACTATGTCAGGTCTGAGTTTTTTTTCCTGCACGTTAAAAAGAAATAATAGCGATTAAATGGCTTCACCATCAGCGAAGACTAAATTTAGTTACCCCTCTCACCGAAAAAAAAATCCTGGATACACCTCTGTTATTATTTACCTGGGAACTCGTCTGCCAACTCGTTCTCTCGAACGGGTACCAGTGCAGAAACGTGTATGAGTCCGCCTCGTAGCCCAGACGGTAGGCATGGACCATTATGTCACGGACAGACGAGGTACAAATGAAAATTACTGAAAACCAAACAAACAAACAAACTCATAACGAAACTTAACAAAGAAACGTACAACGTAACTCGTGCAATAGATACTATCGGTGGGTAGGTAGATAGATGGGTCAGTAGCTGGGTAATGGGTGGTTATCGCGCCGGCCTTAGTTTTTAAACATCATGGCTAATTGTAATTATTTGAACAATAAAACATAAGCATCTACTGTGCACTGCCAAATACACCTGCCAATTTGTTACAAACAATCCCAAATATTGTTGACCTAAATATTGTAATAATCCACAAATCTATCAGATCCCATAAAATAAGAGTTTACCCTAGAGTTTTTTGTTTGATTCCCTCAAAAATGTTTTGTCCGGAGCCTTGGCCAGGTAACCTTCACCGTAAAGAGCCACACTCACCATTACTCCACGTAGCAGCTTCCTCCAGTGCCCGATCAAGAGTATTATAGTTGTCGGCAAAAACCTCGACCACAGTGACCCCAGCAGCTTGAAGGGCAGTGGTAATAGAAGACGGGACGATGTTGTCGAAGAAACGCGGTGTCTGGAACCGTAGTAGTACACAATTTGTCCACTGGTGCTGATGGAAAATCTCAGCCACGAATTTGCTCGTTGCTGTCATCACGGGGAAAGTGCGGGTCAGGGTTGCGAAACGCGCCTTGTCTGCAAGAGGAAAAGAGCTGGCAGCAGCAGTTATTACCGGGAGATTCCAGTAAGCTGCCATATCAGCTACTGCTGCCATTTCAATGCTCTTGGATGGACCAAGGAAAGCATCTACTCCATGTTCGTAGTACATGGACGCGGCTAGTGCCCCTGAAGACCGCACAGGGCGTGTGCAGCACTCATCGGTGCTAACGTAGGACATGTTGAAGTTCTGGTACTGACCCGTTTCCAAGCGTTTAGCGACGGTTTCAAAGGCGATTTGGGCGGCCGGAAAAACGTAAAATGTACCAATAAAGGTGTCATGCTGGGGCCAATGGTGCAACATGCCCACTTTGACATCGACAATGGCATGGACTGTCACCACAAGGAGCGATAACGTGTAAATCAATGCTACAGACATTGGGCCCATGTTAATTAAACAACCTCGTGCTATGCCGATGCGTTACGACCTTTTCCTTGAAAACTAGCTGACGATTATCAATGTCAAGTTCTTGCTTTTGCAGAGCAATGACCAACTAGTTCAGTTTGAACGGTTCCTCCATTTTTAAATCAAACTCAACCGCAGTGCCGGGCCAGCTAAACGAAAGCTATAAATTCTTGGTCTGCATATTTCCATAAATTTATTATTTATACACCACCTGCTTAATCAGATCGAGTAAGGTTGTATTGCAGGTGTGCACTGATAAGGTCGACTAATAATGGAACTACATTTAACGGTGGGACATGTACCGCACCTTTATCCGAACAGGGTCAAGACAGCGCCCAAATTTCCTAGCAAAGCCTGGGAGGGTTCTTTGGTAGGAACTCTGCTTCGCTCGTTCACAAACGACTATGAAATGGACGTTATAAATGGACGTCGCTGCCAGCAATTCACCAATTCGTTGTGGAAGTCTCTTTTTTCTGACTATGACCAGTGCTATTTCGATATATGGATATACTACTTGTGATAGGTCCCCGTGCAATGGTGTCACATATTGCAGTATCTATTCCATTATACCGGCGTATCTTACTGCGTTATACCACCGTAAATGTATCCTATGTTGACACTAGTTTCCATATAGACGTACACATCTGTAAGCCTGCTTAGCTGGTCTGGCAGGACCTCCCTTACAGACAACTAAGAAAATAAAAAAAGAAAAGAAAACAACACAAGTTCCCTTGAGGTGCCCGGACCAGGTCAAGAGGTATAAACGCACTAATGAAACTAGCAATACCAATTTGAACGGCCGAAAGCAGTAGACATCCACACCGTACACCAAATTGGTCTTTATTAGAGAGAACGTATTTTACAATTTACCAGTATTTATTGCGGTTGTTAGTACTTCACACCCTGCTGCTGTGAAACCGAAAGCGTAAGTCTCCCCTTTCTCCCCTTATATAGCAAGACTTCTGCAGTGCCTCCTCATGGAAGTGCATCTTGCGACCCCCGGCTAAATTTCCGGGGTCCCCCTCCCGAGCAGCACTGGGGCACAAAGAAGCAGAGTGCTGGGTATGCAGGTCGACGTGGATATGCCTTGGCACCATGCCAACAACTGCCCCACCCGCTAGTGAGATTAAGCTGGGCACGTGTGATAAGACGAAACGTACTCCAATGGTTAGCTCGGCAGCAGGGCATGTAGCTTCAGACATAACATATAGCCACTGTCTTCACGTAGGCGTCTCCGGCATGTTATCAAGCAGACTACCATGCAGAGAAGCTCAACCAGCTGCTGGTCCTTAACTGAAGTGAGTGCAGTGGTCTGTAATTCTGTCAATTCCCCTGAAGTAGCGAAAGCCAATATGCAACACATGCAATTCACGCCAAGCCTCTAGCACTGACTAGACCTCGACATCTGCTGCCCGAAATAGTCTTCTGAGATTTAATTCATTAGGTTATAACTCTCTAGCTCTATTGATAAACCAGTATAGACTACCAATTTACCATCTGTGGAATTTCTGCTTATTTGTAATGACAAGGGTTAGGGAGCGATGCGGAATCATCATGTCTGTTTTAGAAATGGTGGACCGATATGTCCAATAACAATCCTTACTACAACCAGGCTTTGTGGCCTGTGGGAGATGCCTTTCGCCGCTGGTATTTGATGAGCAAGGCCCAGGTATAAAGGAAGTTAATCGCTCTCGGTAGCTTTCTTGGAAGCTTTCATAGAACATGCTGGTTAATTTTAAACTTATGGTAATAGGATTTTAATTCATTTTGGAAGTGTTTTATAACCCCGTTTGTGTGTGTTTAACGATAAATTTGTGTCATACACATTGAGTATACGATTCTGTTGTATTAAACGCTGACAGTGTGTGGCGGTTATACACGCAGGAGGGTGGGATTGTCACGAACGAAAACAGTTGTTCTAGGCGTGCCCATTTGTCGGAAGTATACTAATGGGTAAGGATAAAAAGCTGTCTGCCTGACACGATTAATGAAGTGAGTAGGAGCACACACGAGCTTTATACAACTCTAAGCTGGTTTATTCTGGTCCTCTCGTTCAATAAGTTTAACAAATAATGAGGAAGGTTCACCAATAAACACACCCATATCAAGTGACCTGAAGCTTATCGGGGGTTTATTACTCTTGGGTCGGAGAGTTATTTTACCAAAACCGCTCTCAGTATCAACCAAAATGACACACGTCACATCAGAGGTTATCAACAGAATCAACCTCTATATTGTAAACCTCAATAATTATCGCACATCACAGTAATCTTGTGACCACGGGCTAGCTATTGTCATCACCAAGGAATGCATTGGTGATGGTACCATCAGCTTTCCAGATCCTGAGCCTCTCCTCAACGACACCCAGGATGTCCCCTCCTTCAGACGATTTTTTTCTCCCTGAGGACCAACCCAATGAAGCCTTACAGTCGCAAGGGCATTACCAGAGAAGAAAGGATCTTCAACTACCGTCTCTTGCGTGTCAAGAGGGTAGTGGAAAATACCCCTGGCATCCTGGCCAAAAGGTTCCAGGTGATGCTCACCACCATTCAGCACCACCCCTCCACAGTGAAGCTCATCGTCACAACCTGAGTGCTCCTCATATACTGATGAGAACCCGGCAACCAGCGCTCCAGAACCAACAGCTGGACCAGGCAGAGAATGCAGAACGTGACTTTGTGGCTGCAGCGTGGAGAGAGGGTCGCAACGTTCGGGACACCATCGAGGTGACTGGTCCTAATGAAGCCTCCAGGGAAGGAAAAATGCACATGAACCTTCTGAGGCACAGGGTCAACTCTGAAGCAAGCTCTGTACCATGGCAGGGTAGGATGGCGTAGCTTGTTTGTGTGATAGGAACACATCTCCATATGTCATTGTATTTAATGAATATATGACCTTGTTTGCTGACAATAACACTTATTTTGTGTGGAAGCACATGTTAAAAGGATTAAAGATATAGACATATTAGAATTTTTAAAGAGGGCATAAGGGTTATTTATTTTACATTTGACGTTTTTGTTAAACATCTCAAATACTTTAAGTGGTGTGTATGTGTAATTGTAAATTGTTTGTTTTACAAGTGTTGAGTGTTTTCATTGTTTTTCAAATTATAAAGGGAGAGTATTTCTTTACATCTCATCATAATAATGACTTTACATTAATTTTGTTATGTTTGTATAAGTGATGCAAAGCACAAAGGACGGGTATTTAATTTACATGGCAAGATATTATAGGGAATTGGACTGGGGCAACAACTGAAATGACTTTAGAAATACACAGGTCCCTGTTATAAAAGCACAGAAACTCTAACTTGTCATCACTGGTTGCTGGTGGTGGCGTGTTCATCTCGGTGCTGATGTTGGGGGTGACAGGTCTTGTTGGTGACGCCAAGATGCCTTACTGGTTGCTGAAGTTGCCAAGCTGCTGCTGCTGGTACTGCTCTGGCTGCTGCTGGTACTGCTGTGATGGCTTGCTGGTAGTGTTTTGGCTGTTGCTGCTGGTACTGTTGTGGCTGCTGCTGGTACTTCTGTGGCTGCTACTGCTGCTGGTACTGCTGTGGCTGCTGCATGCTGGCACTACTGTGGCTGCTGCTGGTACTAATGTGGCTTCTGCTGCTGGTACTACTGTGGCTGAAGCTGGTACTGCTGTGGCTGCTGGTGCTTCTGGTACTGCCCTGAAGTGTCAGGCTGGAGGGTGCAGAGCTGGGCCTGACAGGTCTGCTGGCAGTAGGTGCGAGGAACCGTAGAGGAGGAGCAGGAGAAGCAGGATCATCACCTTCGTCGGACGAGGACGATTCGTCATCCATGTCCAGCTTGCGGACATGGCAAAATTGCAGCATCCGAAATTGCAGCCTTGGCCACCCTGTACTTTAAGCTGACTTATACATGGTGAGTGGCGAATTCCTCTTGAAGTTGGCAAAGGTAGCTCCCCTGCTGAGGGGGGCAGGTTCAGCCAACTGCTTTAGCAGTTGACCAGACTAAAGCAGGTTTTCGTGGAGGGCCTGCAGGGTAGGGTCCTCATCCTGCTTGCACTTCTTGCCCATTTTGGTGGTGGTGCTGGTTCCCGATGTGGAAGGGGTATCCTCGGGGGCCATCATCCTCCTCCATGTCTGCAAGGCCAATTTGGGCAGCCGCTGCTTCCGCCTGTGCAGTGTCACTCGCCTGCCCGGCAAGGTCTGATTTCATCTGCAATAGTGACAATGCATAAGCAAAAAGAAAACATAAGAAATGACAAATAATTATGTCATCATGACAGATTGGCAATGATATTTATTTACATTTACACTTCTCAATGGCTGTGACTTGTGGCGGACAAGTGGCCTTAAGAAGGAGCAGATGTTGACGATCCGATCCTGCACTCAGTAAACACCTTCGCCTCATCCCGCTCCTCTTTTTGTCCAGCCTGGTGAAATTGTCCGTGGTGGACCATCTGGAATGGGGAAGTTGGTCGGCAGGCATGTCTTGGTCGTCATCTAGCCATGTATCTCGATTGTGTTATTAACATGGATACTTACAGAGACTGCTGGTCTTTTTCACCTAGAAAATCTGCGATAATCAACCTTGCCTGGTTATCGCCCGACGTTACGTTACGACACCGTGAATGCAACATCGGTCTGCTGTCGGGGTGCGTGTGGGATACAATATGGGCCGGTTGTCATATGCCAGGAGAAGGAAAAATAGCTCACGTACAAGCTGCATTTTCATCACAAGTAAGTGACTGGCGCAATCTTACCGTTTCCAATTGTGAGGGGGAATTTCCTAAAAGATTCAACCAACAACATGTACTCTGAACAGCTGCCTTTCTGAAACGGAGACATTCGTACTTACATGTTTATGATAGCAGTGTTTACAGCGATAACCCCCAATTCTAGCCTACCAATGCATTGCGGTTAACACTTTGAGACGTCATCAGTACATGTATAGGTCTCCTGAACAAACAACGGAATGGCCACGTTCAAACGTAAAACGTTAATGCACATTTAGTTATAGATTGCATGTATTTGACCCTTAACATCCCACTCGATCTCCACTGGCAGTCTTGGTGTTAGTGATGCCATGGCAATCACAAATGAATCCTGGCCCAGTACGTTATGAGGCCAGTAATAATTGCAAATTCACGGACATAATCGGGTGGGTCTGGAACCACTTGAAAGATACGCCAATACCCCTTCATCCCTTTCCTTCATGCCTACTGGATACTTACCTACTCATTATTTTAACTTGCCAGCCAGACCCCATGTTTAATTAATTTGTCTCCAATACTGTATGCGGTTTGAATTATAATTACGTTTTTTTTTATAAAAGGCAAGATATTTCTTGTGCAAATGCTTGCAAAAATCTGTTTCATGCATAAAACATGCATGCACTGTTTTATCAATACAGCCCAGCTTGTCGGTTTCATGTTTATTTAATGTGAGCATGTCCTAGGTTTCCTGGCCGGCTTTCTAAGCTTATTTTATGTCTTTATTTACCAGTATCGTATTGGGAAACAAATGACGCAACAAGAAGCTACCTGTATGCTTAATTAATTTGTCTTCCATACTGCATGCAGTTTGAATTATAATTACGCCTCCTTCCAACCAAAATTTATTCTTTTAGTAATTCTTGGAGTTTGTTTCGACTCTGTGACACCACTCTTAACCCGATGTTAGGTTTGAAAACTTTTGACAAAATTTCCATGTTGGTCCCTAATTTGTTTGACTCACTGTAATACAGGGTTTTTCTGTTTGTTGTTCTTAATTCAAGCATGTTTGGTAACTTTGCTTTCGTCCAAAGGTATTTATGCATGTAAACATTTAAATCAATGAAAACTTGCAGCCCTATCTTATAGCCAGGCAGAAGGCGTAGTAGTGAGATTGGTTAGATATCTTGTGCTCAAAATGATTGTGAGTAAAGATATGCCCGTCTGCTTTAATCACAGTTGGTTTTCCTAGGCTAGCAAATCTTTTCACGGTGGTGCCTTGAAAAAAACCTATGAACGAAAGCAAATACACCACAAAAAAGCGTAAATGCTTGAATTCAGCACAACAAATGAAAACATTGCTGTACGAAACAGGTACATGCAACACTGGAGACCAAAATAGCTTGCCAACTACACCGATAATAACTCTTTGCATTATGGATGGCTGACATACAGATATTAAATAAACATGAAACGGGTCTAACTGGTAAGCCGAGCCGTATTGATGAAACAATACGTGCATGTGTTATGCATGAGGTAAAGTTTTTATGTACACAAGAAATACACATTGGTTCCAGCAAGTAAATCTTTATAGCCACATGCAACGGAATAATGCGTGTGTATGTAATATGCATAAAAAACAAGAGAAGGAAAAACCCTTTTCTCAGAGATGTTTCAATTAGCGAATTTGGGCTCACAGTTTGAACAAGAAAAACCAAACCGCGCCTTCCCTGATTGACATCACAGCAGCAGCGCCCTCTGTTGTCCAGATAAGCTGAACACAACCCCCAAAAGATGTCCAACTGTTTCCATACGTATACAGTCAAGAACACTGTAATCGTTTCCGTAAAGACAGCCAAAGTTAGCTGGCAGGAGCAGCCACATTTACTTGGGGATCTCCTTGTAACAGTGTGTATAAAGATTTAGAAGCCTTGAGAAGAACATGACCAATAAACTGTACAAATGCCGTGAGACACCTCATTTGCTTGTTGCCTCCGCGATTGGTCTTTTACTTGGTCACTAGTTATGTTTCACTCTTACGTTAGGTAGTTGTTGATACTCAATACTTTTAGTGATAAGTTATTGTGATCATGTTATATTAACCTCTTTGCACTTTCCTCTAACAACGCGGTGTGGCAGTTATGGTAGTTAGAGGGAGGGTGCGTTGGGGGTTTCAATTCAATCGGCGACTTCCAATATTAACATGTAAGCAGTTAAACCAATACATGTAGAAAACTTGATGCCTTACCTTATTCGGCCTGGAGCTAGGCAAAGAGCAACGGACACGGAGTTTTCGCTAGTTCACGAACGACCAGGAAATGCTCGTGTCACTGTCGCTTCGCCACAAACAAATTGAACACTCCCGACCAACGCGGCTCTTTGCAACCGATGAGGGATGTCTCAGTTTCAAATTGGCTCTCTGTCGATTGATGGTCGGCCATGATTTATATGTGTACATGTGCACATGTGCACGTATATGAGTAAGTACATGTTCTCAATGAACGCACATATTCATGCACTACTACCGCCAAATGATTCTCGTGCAAAATCTTCAATTCGCAATAACTTGAAAATACCACGGATGTTTTTATCGCGTCTTAATACAAATGGCCCTTTATTTCGTTTGTTTGGATAAACTGGATGAGTGGTTTTCTAATGGAAATGACTGTGGACTTATTTCCTTTAAACTCTGATCGTGTTTTTAAATCACTTTTTCAGAATTTATTTCAAATTTTGTGCAATTTGGTTCATATAATGAGGTAGCACAATGTTGTCTAATCAACTTTTAGTTATCAAGGTATCTCTGTGAACTTTATTTATTTGTATTTTGTTAGAAATAATCTCCAGAAAGTGTTAGAAATTGATCTCCACCTGCGGAAAGAAGTGTCGAAACGGTGTCCAACGTCGCCGGCCTCGAAATCCACAGTAAACTGATCGAGTGTGCTTGCGCTAACTCTCAACGAAGTGGTGCACAAAGGCATGTGAGTGAACATACATGATAGTCTGGATACCAGACCTGATGATTTTTTACTACTCTACGAATCACGAGATGTCTACGTGACCAAGACTGTAGGAATAGAGCCTAAAAGTAAAGGTCACGCAGCGAGCTTCCAGAACCCTTACGCGGTCTGCCTGTGGGGATTTTACATTTGGCCGTCCTATCACGTTCGATAATTTGGGAAAAATAATTCCTTACTGAAACCACCCTATGAAACACTCATGTTGGAATTTTACTTTTCTCTTCCTCAAGTAATATCTTGGAAAAGTCACCTGAAGATGGGTGAAAAACGAACGACCTTTCACGTTCGGCGATATCGTACCTAGGTCACCTTGTTGTTAATGCACGTTTGTTTTCACTCGCCGTGCTCTCTTGAAAACGAGATTGTACAACCTTGCAAAGATTTATCTACCTGCAGTCAATGGGTTCCAGATTCCGTTGAATTGACATCACGCAGTTGTTGTCAGCAAAGGTTAGATGAAATGTTACAGTCTTTCGTAAAATAGAGTATTATATGTTTAGTACCTTATAAATTATCAAAATGTGCAAAATATTTTGATCTGTTTTATTTTGGTTTTTACCCACAGGCTATCATAAAATTTCAAACCGTAAATATTCATCTGCGTACGAAACTTCTGTATTGCATTGTTCTTCATGTATTTTAGATTTTCGGAAGTGATGGGTCAACTTTTGGAAGGAAATTTCTCTTTAAAGCCGATAATTTTTATATAAATTGATATACCAGCAAATATTCGTCAAACCCCTGTCCTTTTTCTAAGTTGGATTTTTTAAGAAGAAACTGGACGAAAAAGTATTACAAAATCTAAGAGCTTTGCATGTTATTTTTCCTATCCAAGGGTTCCGGAAACGCGCCATCAGGGGTCAACATTCAGGCTCTATTTTGCCAGTTTTCCGGAAAAAGATGAAACATTTCGAAGTTGTCCCGTCTATATTCGGCGTATGTTCGGATATTAGGCCTACCACTGATGTTCGGGTATGCCCGACCGGGTAGGTCGGCTAGCTCGGCTAGCTGTTGAACGTAAACTCCCGTATCCTAATGCCAGCTATTGATCCTACAATATTTGACTTTACACCGAAATCAAAGGTCTCCTCGGTAATCTCCCGAGAGGAAAATCTAGGAAGAATAAGGACCTGACGACGATTGTCAAATAACCACACATACACTTTGCACCACTGTAATGAAATAGAAAACATCCGAGCTCTCAACTTGTGACCCCTGACCCTTGCGTCAAATCTATTTATATCCGTGTTTGATGCNCCACGGCCACTATCACAGACTTGTGTGCAATTTCAAGCCGCATCCAAGTGACTCAGACATAGCCTAATTATCCATGCCTATGTGGACAGCAGAGGGTGCTGTTACCGTAGTGTAAATGAGGAAAGACGCAGTTCGGTTTATAGCCTTTCCTGTTCAAATTTGTGAGCCTAAATTTCGCTCATGGGAAACATCTCCGAGAGGGGGTGCTCATCGTATTATTCTCATGTACTCAAGCAAACGTGAACCACCAAAGAAGGGAAGATTCGTACAGCAAACTGTGTAAAAGTCAAGCGGTTTATGTGTACAAATCAACATAATCTTTGTGTAGTTGCGTTGACATTTTGATGCCAAAGATAGACCGTTGGCCAAAAATCACAGCTTGCAGGTTCGTTGAGAGTTTCGAGTGGCAACTTACTTTTTACTCTAATAAACACCTTACATACTTTGAATCAATATTTTGTCTGTTGCCATCCGGATGTTTTGCTCTTTAATGTGAAAAATGACGGTATAAAAATGTGAAAATTCTCGTGTTTTGTTCGCCTTTTTCCAATGTGCCAATATAGGGCGCTGTCTCCAACCTCGATCCTTTATCAATTTGAGCTCATGAAATGCCACCGTTGCACCTGGGTACAAGCAGCACTCAAAGTGAACATGGCGCCGTACGTGAGCATACAGGCGTTTGCCGTGTTTACGACGAATCAGGAGAGATTTCACAATTTACAGAGATAAGTTGGTGAAAATATGTGACAAGTTGTGAGCAGTGGAAACAGTTTGATGGATAGAAGAGAGATGTTGCTCTGGAAAACGTAGAAATAGCCAAAAACGAGCAACCTAAACGGAGTGTGGCTTCTCGGCCTCCCAAACATGCCAAAATTCCATTCGAAGCATATCGCAATAATCGCATGCCAAGCGTTTGCCAGTCATGTTAGTTTTAAAATGTGCTTCTCCTTTGTGTCCTTGGGATCTAGGTTTGTCTGTGTCAGGTAAAATACTGATCATTGTGCTGGTTCTGATTTAAAAAGCAGATGCAATTTCAGGAAAATAAAAATTATTTCTACAATAATTATTTCTACAAAAACTAGGTGAAATTTCTTGGGGGGGACCGGATTCCACAACATTTCCGTGCAAATAAAATCATGACACTTGATAGTCGTTTTTCTAGTTACAGGTCTTTCCTAATTCTGGATCGTTTGAATTTAAAACCGTCTTTTTGTGCTGTTCTTCAGTTCGCATTCGACGACAAGTTCTATTTGAAAGGTAAACAGGTAAAATAGGCCTATATTTGTTTTCAAACTTTCTGGTTCACACTTCGACATTTGAGTTGGTTAAAATCATTAGAACAAAAAAAAAATCAGCAACAATTTACATGGTGATGGTCACCCACTATGTGTGATTCTAAATACTTTTTTCGTATTCGACAGCCATAGGCCTATACACGTTTACAGCTAATCAAATGAATTAGAATTTCTGTTTTCAAAATCGGCTGAAAACTGAACACATTTTTTTTTTTCAAAATTTGAATCGCACGTTAAGTGCACTCAATACAGGTACGTTACAAACTCAACTATACTGACCTAGCAGAAATGTGGCGTAATGGGTTTGTCAGTGCGCGGCATGGGGGTCGTATTGTTGACAGCTTGCTGTCCATCTGATAAAGTTTAGTGAAAATTTACACATGTTCTACTTTTTAATTTGTGGGAATTAGTTATGGAATTTTTATTATGAACTTCTTTCTCTAAGAAAATTTCCTTTAGAAAATCAGCTTTACTAGCTTGTTGGCTGAAAAATGGATTTTCGCCCGATTACTTTTTATTTGTGAAGAAGTTTTTGTCGCAATCAAGAACTGCAACCGAACCAATAATAGTATGAAAAGTAAGTCAAAATTAAAAGCTCAGAATCGGAAAATAATTTTTGCAGTATCTCCAACTTGCAAGGTGGTGGACTACTGACCACATTTCATTGGAATTTGAGAATTTTTTGTAAATGCAAATTGAGTGAATCACTTTTGCGATCTGAAATCAGGAAATAGAGTGTATATATACAAGGTACTTCACTTCAGATTTCACTAGATAATATTACGAATATATTCCTCCGAGGAAGCACATACGTCAATTTTGACCTATTTCAGCGCGTTGTGACTAAAAACATTATGGTACCTTGGGGCATATCCTTGAATGAAACATCTTTGCGTTTCATAAAATGAAATTTTACTATTCTTAACAGCGTGTTCCCCAAAAGACGATTAAAAAACACTTTCCATTTATGGATAAAATGTCACGTTACGGTATATATGACTTGTAGGGTTTAAAGGAGGACACTCTTAGCGTGGTGATGCTTTTGATGTCATCTGATTTTCTTGGCGAACCAGTGATATAACCAAGTGAACAAATGCACTCAACATGTATCCCAGCTATACTGACTCCGAAGTATTAATATTCCGCTGAGAAGATCTTTTCGACTTTTGAGTGCATTCAGTGTTGAATAAACAGCAATAGACTTCAAAACGTAGCAAACAAACACAGAAACCATTCAACAACTAGGTAACTGAAGCCTTTTGAGATGCTGCGAGGGCAACAGAATACTGAACTGGAGTGTCCATTCAAAACCAAACGATGTTACACTTCAGAAATGCTGACAAGGAGTTTTAAAGAAAACACACAACTACACGAAAAATCTTCAGTCGGTTTGCCTGTCTTTGGGCAAAACAAATTCAGTTCCCTTAACCTTTAACTACTCTCCAACTTATTTTCTGTATCATTTGCAATTCTTGATAAAAAAATCTGCCTCTTACACCTCCATATATCTTTCTGTGGATTGCCAATTTAAAAAGAATCAAAACAATGTTTCGTACATATTTTGCCAATACCAGAATGCTGAAACAAAAAAAAAACTAAGCAAAAAAATGGGAATAATAATACGTCATTATAGTAGCTGACAATCGGTCTCTTATCTCTAGTCGCGTCAAACTCTTAAGGAATCTGCAGCTTCGTCGTGCGTAAAAGTGACCTGCAATTGAAGAAATTTTGAAGAGGTGAAAGTAATCTGCTTGGATGCAAAAACTACCCCGTCCAATCCATTAATTAAGTGTGACTGTGTGGGGGAGGGGGTTAATAGGATTATTTTGCTCCCTTGGTAAAACTATCACTCTTTCCACTTTAAAAAAAAGCTTCACCAGGCAACACTTCATTTTAAGTTGTGGGGCCAGTCAAGACACCTCTTTTCTGTTCTGGGTCCACTATGAGGCAGAGTGGGTTTTGTAAAGAGCGCAAGTCGGGTTGATCGGGTCCTGTGGTAGTCGTACCCACCCACCCTGGATCGGGGAAGAGAAGTGGATCCTATCTGGTCATGCCACTGAGACTTTGCAAACCAATGGACTAGGCATTAGCTACGCCCGCTGAAACAACCCTTGTGAAAGCACGGGAATAATTCGTTTGTATGGCCAGTTTTGTGAATGGCCGTTTGATTTACCTTTAGCAACTTGCAAAAGAGAGTCGTATTCACTTGGCCCTACTTACATTGAAGTGTCCAGGGTAATCGCCTGTCATTAGCAACATCTGGTTGACCATCAAACGGTCCCCATCATTACCAATCTTAAAGGTCCCTGTCAAACCTATCGAACATACAAAAGTATGACTACGCTTAATCCATATTGCCATGACTACGGCTAGGGACTGGCATCAAGGTAGTATTAAACAAAACCATTTCAACGAGAATTCGTAGTCCCTCCGCAAGACATAACATTTCTACAGCCGAAACGTATACCGTAAAACGTTACCATCAAAAGTGAGTTTACTAAATTCAGATATGTGTGTTAAAATCTTCCGGAAACGATTTTAATCCCAGCGACTCCAAACACCGCTGCAGGACAGGGGGTTAGCAGCATTACTTGCTGATTGTCAAAGTACAGAACAGCAATGTGCAAAGTCGACAACATACCAATTCTGCCACTGAATTACTGGGTGGATTCCAAAGTCGAAACGGATGATAAATGTTCTCCTCATTTGAAAATAAATACATACTTGGAAAATATTGAATTGGGTTGCTTTTTTTCAGCACGATGAATTTGTCAACTTAGCCACAGGCTGATCCGCACAAATCATTAAGTTGTGGGAAATCACAATGAGGCTATACTGATTCGTATAACAACAAATCATAAATTGGAGGGAATTAGAAGTACCTGCGCCGTCACCTACCTTCAAACGTGCGATTCCACATCTTCTTTGTCACTGATCTGCCATCCCTTACGTCACCGCCCTCTGCCACAATCTCATTGATGACGTCTGCATACATCAGAACGGCGTCATGAGTAGCCGCAGCCACCACGTTATCCTGCACGGACAGAAGAGATCTGTTTATATAGAGCATTGCCTTTTACCTGACAAATTGACAAATGCCATGAAAAAATATGTGTATACTAAGGACAAACATTTAAAACCATTTTTTCAGAGAGCAAAGACTGCCCACGCCTATAGAAGTAGCTGATTCCACTTTTCAGCGCCATTATGGAATCAAACCTTTTTCCCTGTACAATGAGCTCGGCGAGGAACTATTCTATAACAGACCCCATTTCCAAGGAAGGTAATTTTGTTCCCAGGGCCACCTCATTTTCAGCTTTGTTCCAGTAGTAATGACAGGCTCTGCAACTCTCTTTTCTACCCATATCAACGTCTCAAATTGTGTTTCGGGATCCTCACCACCGTGCTAAATCACAGGGGTGGTTGAGCACGCATAGCCGTGGAGGCGCATCGTCAGACACAAGGAACAAGATTGCAAGGATTGGTTCATTGATCATTGCAACACATAAACTGGTACCTGTTCTGTACGTATAGTCTAAACGTACGGGCCAATAGCGGGTACCAGATTTTTTTTCCGTAGGTGTGTGAGTCAAGAAACATGAGTTATTGTCAGGCCTACGGCAGAACTGAACTTCAATAGACCTCTTCACTAATAAATTCAAAATTATGCACGCATGCACACAAATGGCCTTGACCGCAAGAAGTGTGAGCGGGCCATTGAAAATGTACAAGGTGCGACTTCGATGATCATTTTCTCTCAGGTTTTCTGCCTTTGTTCACTTTTTCTCTTGAGAAAATCACATTAATCTCGTTTTCGCTAATAGTTTCTAATATAAGTTTCTAATAAACTGGAATTTACAGTAGATTAGTCCCGTCCCGCACGTAATCTCCAGACGTCTCACAGGCGGAAACGGTAGTGGATAATGATTCTGGAGGATTCCTGCTGGTTTTATGTTAATGATGAAATTAGGATATAGCATTCCCACACTGCAACACTGTCACGTGAGAACATTTGGAGAAACTTTAAGTGTAGGATGGATTAAGCACTCCCGAGTCATTTCCACGTGCAACACGACTTTCAGACCTATTTACCAACAGGGGTGGGGGTGGGAGGAGGTAACCGCTTCCATTATCACAGGGGTAAAACATTATTGAAGTTTGTCTGAGAACCATGCGTTCGGCTGTCACGTCCGGGAAGTGTTTTGTGTAAGTATTATCTCTATAAATAAAAAAGCGATTGCGCAGAGCTAAACTAACCACGGACACCAAAAGTTATAGTTAGCCAGCGGTTTGAAATACTATATATATATATATAACGGGGACTAGTCAAAGCAACATAGAAAACAATTCGTTGTCTTACTGTGCATGCCTGAGCGTACACGGCAGCACTAGTAAAGAATCCCAGGTCTGGAAGGTTTAAATTGATGGAAAGTGGAAGGTTAAATTTCACATAACATTCACGTGTTCCAAAAACAACAGATGCTGGCATACCTCGACCTGAGTCTTGCCGTACAGAGCCTGCTGGCGTTCCCGTAACTTCCTTTGAAATTGCTGGTACGCTTCGTCAGACTTTGGAAGTTCTGGGCGCAAGACGACTAACGCCTTCATGGCCTCTGTCTCTTCCTTGCTGAGGCTCTGAAACTAAAACGAATAGGGCAATGCACAAATCGGACGGTTGTTGGACAACTGCTTTGATACAGTTGTAGTTGAACCGTGAAATTTGACAGGCAGTCAGAGACAAAAACAGTCGCCGAAAGATAGTTTAGGAAGATAGTGGATTTAGGGTTTGATTGATTTTTGATGGATAGTAAGTTCGTATTTGTGCAGGGGTGTAGAGTTACCTACACTAGAAAACGGCTACCCATTTTTTCCTGTGCAAATTAAGTATAGCGCGCTCATTGTCCGTTCCACAGCCTTTGGTATACTCGTTTTGTAACACACCGAGGGCAGCTTTAGCCCTTCGTCAAGGCCTTCGTGGCTGTGTGTGACTGCAAAGGCCTTTTCCAACTTGATTTTGAGGTTTTTGTGGTGAATTATGCATAACCTTTCTGATATGCCTTATTCATAAATTTCATGTAAATAGTTGAACCAGATCTCCGAAATAAACGGCATCAACTCCAAGGCTTACGGAATGTTTTCATCTGGTTTTACATGAGGGCAATAAGCAGTGAGTTGACAACTATGATACTTATTGGTAGGGGATGGCGCTGACGTTGGGGTAACACTAAACAGCTCATCAAGGCCGAATGGTCAAAGCAAAACGGCAGTGCTTGAAATATGGAGCTCTTACCATATTCCGTGGGTAGAGACAAAAACGTCACGCCTACGTACAGATGCTTCATGTAGCCTTACGCTACAACGGTTTTAACTCGGCAAGGTAAAGTTTTCCAGCAGCATAATTCTAAAGAACTGTTCAAATACTGCTCAGGCAACCTGACCTGCACTCAAGGCCGCCGACACACTTGACACGCTCGCCATCTTTTGCATACTTTCAATTTGCATAATAGGTTAACGTGTGCTGACCATTTCGCCTATGATTGGTTGAGATTTTTGCTCAAAATCAAAAACATAAAGAAAAATATAAGAAATTCCTTACAAGTTGGAAAAGGCCTCGTGGCTGCGCCAATCGTGCATGTGGTCTCCGGTCTAGCCGCGAAGGCCTTGACAAAAGGCTAAGGTAGCTTAGGCTTTCGTCCCAGGATTGTAAGAATATTTCTTGCTTTGTCTGAGTCGAGCTTAAATTTCAAACACCGCAAAATTATGGCATTTCTATGCCAGAAATGCACAAAGATCAGTCTCACGAAACGCAACAACAAATTCCACCTCATACGCACTTGTAAACAAATTAATGAAAATTGTACTTGGAACTATTGCAACTGAAGTGACACTTTATTTAGTAGAAATAAAAATATTTCTGGTGTAGCAAATTACTTAGAATAACTCAGGCGCAGATCCATGGAGGAATGGGCTCAACTCTCCTCCTGATAAGTTTTAGCTGTTCCAGCAGGTGTCTAAAACAGCTTTTGTTTTCGTTATTTTTTTTTAGCTTTTTCACAAGTTACGAAAAAGGCATTCTTTTTGTCAACTTTTTTTTCTTCTTCTCCCTGTTCGTCCCTCCAAATCCCGTTTCTTCTGTACACAGTTTTTCTACGCAGCACTTTAGTCCCTTTGCAAGTTCGGATCTTTATCAAAGTTGCCTCAACCAAGGGCCCTATAGCTTAAATACGTCTCAGAGTATGACGTCGTGATGACTTTATCACCTTTTTTGGAATTGAGTTTTGAATATTATTTGTTTGTCATAGGTTTTGCAGATAAATACACACGGAAGTGTCATAGACCACAAGTGACATATCATGTGATGATAACGTCGTTTGGTGACAAGTAATGTGACAATTAAGGTTCACCATTTCAATCATAACTTCTGAGGTGCAACGTTTCAATGAGTATATTTCCTAAAGTAGTGAACTTAAAGAGCAGTGTCTAACATGCCGCCAATGCCAGCCTCATTTCTTTCTGTTTCGGGAAAAAAATTCCCAAAACAGCTTAGCGTTTGTCTGGCGACAAAACAATTATTCTGTTTAATTTTTGTGGCCTTCATCTGAAGGTTGGAAGAGTCTGTAAAAGTCAAAAGCAAATAATATTTCGTGTACCGTTAAGAAGAAAATAATAACCAATAAAATGGCCTCTCCATTGGCGCCAAGTTATAATACCAAACCATACAATTCCTGACCAGTGTTGTAGCTAGTTACCTGGGAGCTCGTGTGCCAACTCTCTTTCTCGAGCGGGTACCAGTACAGAAAGGTGTGTGATTCCGCCTTGTAGCCCAGACGGTAGGCGTGACCCATTATGTCACGAACAGGGGAGGTGCAAAGGAATATTACTGAAAACAAACAAAACAAGGTAGGTAGGTAGGTAGGTAGGTAGGTAGGTAGGTAGGTAGGTAGGTAGGTAGGTAGGTAGGTAGGTAGGTAGGTAGGTAGGTAGGTAGGTATATATAAAACACTGTAGAAATAATCCCCAAATTATAAGATCCTCAAATTTGAGAGTTTACCCTCGAATATTCTGTTTGAGTCCCGCAACAGTGTTTTGCCCAGAGCCATACTCACCACTGCTCCACGTAGCAGCTTCCTCCAGTGCCTGACCAAGAGTACTGTAGTTGTTGGCGAAAACCTCGATCACAGTGACCCCAGCATCTTGAAGGGCAGCGGCTATAGAGGATGGGACACTGTGCTCAAAGAAACGGGTTGTCTCGAACCCCCGTAGCACTACGCAACTTGTCCACTGGTGCTGCTGGAAGATTTCAGCCAGGTATTTGCTCACCGACGCCAGCTTGGGGAATGTGCGGGTCAGAGTTGCGAAACGCGCCTTGTCTGCAAGATGAAAAGAGCTGGCAGCGGCGGTGATCACCGGGAGGTTCCAATAAGCTGCCATGTCAGCTACGGCTGCCATCTCCATGCTCTTGGATGGACCAAGGAAAGCATCTACTCCATGGTCGTAGTACATGGATGCGGCAAGGGCCCCTGTAGACCGCACTGGGCGTGTGCAACACTCATCGGTGCTGATGTAGGACATGTTAAAGTTCTGGTACTGGCCAGTTTCCAATCGTCCAGCAACGGTTTCAAAGGCGATTTGGGCGGCCGGAAAAACATAGAATGTACCAATAAAGGTGTCATGCTGGGGCCAATGGTGCAATATGCCTACTTTGACATCGACAATGGCACGAACTACCATCACAAGAAGCGAGAAGGTGGAAATCAGTGCTACAGACATTGTGCTAGATACCCTCGTGCTATGCCGATGCGATATATCGACCTTTCCCCTGAAAACTCGCAGACGGTTATCAATGCCAACTTCTTATGCAAAGCAATGACTACACATGTTCGGTTTGAATGGTTCCTCGATATTTAAATCCAAATGAAAGCTATAAATTGCTACTTTGTATATTACCACAAATTTTACATTAATTTTATACACCACCTGCTTGTTAATCTGACGAATGAGATTGTATCGTGCGTGCGCATTGATAAGGTTGATTAATAATGAAACTACATTTTCAACGGTGGAATTTGCCCCGCGCTTCTTTACGGAGGTTTGAATTTGGCAATTCGTCGTGTAAGTCTCTCTTTGTTACGGCGATCTGTAGTATTGCGATATATTGCCATACTACTCATGCTATGGCGTCAAATCGTTGTACCATATGGCGATAATCGCAGTATTATTCCGTTATTTTACTGCCATATACCGCCTCCTGATTAGTTTCTTTATGTATGTACCCTGCTGTAGGTCTGTGTAGCTGGTGTAACATCCGCCATTAGCCCATTATAATGCTTCAATCATCAGCCATTATTATCCTAGTTACGTGCTTCGAGTACAGCAAAAGAACGGTGTATTTTATTGTCGCATGCTCTGGCAGCACCAATTGCACGGTATTGTACTGACCTTCCAATATGATACTTGCATGCGCCAGAACAGAAGTGTTTTGTCCGTGTCTTTATCCATATAGATGAACGTCAGTTTGGCAATGTGAAAATATCCTCAGCAACTGACTTACAGATCAACGAATTTGAGTGGAATTGACAACGTGTAAAGACCAAATGCTTCTCTCAGCAGATTCACAGTGTGTTTTGGAAATAAGCTTGTGATCTGCCTTAATTTCATGCCTTAGTGACTGGCTGGACTCCACCGTAGTGCTATTTTTTGGGACAGGACACATAGCCTGGTAGAGTTCATGCAGTGAACAAATGTGTATATGAGCTTGTATGCAGTACACGTATAGTGGCTAGGCAGCCAAGGGAATTTGTGCTGTCACCTTTGGTGAGTTTAATTTATGTTTCATTTAGACAGTATGATATTTTGATCATTATATACAGTATGACACAGTCATTCGTCAGAAAATATGTCAGCAGTAATTGCCAGTCAAACTTTTGGTAATAATCCTCGGATTCATGCTGTTTGTGTAATCCTGGTACATACATGTGCATGTAAATCAAAATAATGCTCATTGTCCTCATGTCATTGCATGTTCAATTAGCCTCACCTTATTAATTTAAGATTAATGATAGGGTGCTTTCTATTCTTGATGTAATTTATTTACCAATCATGTGTGCCTGGGAACATAGAGCAAAGCAATAGTAATACTAAGTTTAGTTTATTTTATCGTTTCTTGCAGCTAATTGGTTCACTTTGGATGGTCAGTTTAATCATGGAAGAAGGAAAGCAATTAAAACCGCATTAGCAACAGCAGAAATGCTGGACTTTGGCTGGTCACTATACAAGGGCTATCGTACTGCGTCAGTCAGTGCAACTGGTTTTACAAAAACTTGTCACTTGTTGACCACACAATACGGGGGATTCACAGTAGTGCAACTCCAAGAGTTTGCAACGCTTGACCATTCACATAGCGCGAAATCTGTCGACCCAAATGCACATTAGGTCGACAGGTTTAACGTATTTGGATTGGACAACGCGTTGCAATCTCTGGGAGGCACATTTTTGTGAGTCACCCATACTGTCGTTTTAAAGTAATTATACTTAGAGTTAGACCATCTTTTATTTTAATTATCGCCAGTAGATCTCAGTGTGTTTACATCAGTAACGATTTATCTTAGACAGCAACTGCGACTTGTGGTGTTCCTCGGGAAACCAGACATGGCCTAAGTTTATTTCCTGTCGTGGTAAATGATAGGCTATTACTTTCACTACCCCACTCAGATGGAAATGCATTGCCAGCCTGACTATTGCCGAGCTTAGAAATGTTCAACTTTCTTCATGATTAGAAACGGAAACAACCAATATTTGTTCTTGATTCCAGGAAAATAACATAAAACCAAATCTGGAGAAGTGTTAAAGTAATGCACGTTTCATTTGAAAAATCGCCCGGTTGAATATTTGCATTAGGACTTTAGCCCCAGAGTCTGTTGATAGCCTTGTATTAATTGGAGTAGCTCTCCGGTCTGATCTGAAGCGAGATGTATGTGTCGATCGCATTACCTGTATGGCTGCCAAGCGATTGTATTTTTTGTGCGTTCTTGATAAGATATAAACCTCCGTTCAAGACCTCGAAATCGTTTACTTGGTTTACATTAGACCTGCACTCCCCTGTGTGGTCACTCTTTTTCACAGATCATCAGACTCAAAAGACTGAACGTATTCAACAACGTTCGCTCAGAATAATTGTCAGTAATTACTTAGATTATTCGAGCACTCTTAATTGCCTTCAGTGATCATCCTTAGAACAATGTTTTGGTCACTTATTTGTATTTGCAAGGTTTCTTATCTCTTCACAACACGTGTCATTGCTAACCCCCCACCCTCCCTCAAAAAAGTTCACAAACAGATACAAGACTCCTTGGGAATAACCGTGGTCTTATGATTCCTTTCTGCCTTATTAACAGATACAAAGAAATCGGCCATCTCACAAATTGTTTGTCGGAGTAAACGTGTCCCCTAGTAAATATGTGTTTCCCCCTGCAACACTGAAAGTCAAGCACCGAGACTGTGTAGGCCTTTAATTTTATTTCAACTGTTTTCCCGCTGAGCTTGTAGAAGGAATTTGATTGCTTCCTCCATTTACCACAAAAACGCAGTTAGTGTAATTAACCTTATACACCCAGGACCTCTAATCAGTTTCATGTCTTCTTTGGCATTTTTTCACTTGCATTTGTCAGCAGCAGCGTTGGAAGTCAAAACGGACTTGCGGCAATTGTTACACACGAATAATCCCCAGCGACACTAAATATAACATAAGGCACGAATTTCAGGAAAGGTACCGGCCTCAAGACATTCACAGACGATTACGAAGACAGATTGAATATTTATAATTCTATAATTTCCTGCAATATAATTCACTGGAGGAGAAAGGATGGAGAATTTCATACCACGTTCACTTATCATTTGCTATTTTCTACTTTAGTAGCCAAACCTCATGTTTATTTCTTCAGCATATGTTTACAAAACTTTTTTCTTATGCATAACGCGCATGTATTGTTTCATCAATACCGCCCGGTTAGCCAGTTTCATGTTTATTTAATGTCAGTAAAATTGTAAAACCTATTGACCTTGGTTTGCTCGCCGGTTGTCTAAGTTTATTTTATGTATATGAATTTGGAATTAATTACGTCTCCTTTTGACTTAGGTACGACAGGTTTTTCCGTCTGTTGTTAATTGAAGCATTTTTGTAATAACTTTGCTTTCCTTCATAGGTTTGATGAGAAAAGTAATGACAAAACTATTTTTACGTACCAACTAGGATTAAAATACAGGGACATGTTGTTGCACATAATTATTTTGAGCACAGTGCATAGTAATTAAACATTTTTGTGATAACTTTGCTTTCCTTCATAGGTTTGATGAGAAAAGTAATGACAAAACCATTTTTACGTACCAACTGTGATTAAAATACAGGGACATGTTGCACATAATTATTTTGAGCACAGTGCATAGTAATTAAACGAAACACAGTTTACGACTTCTCATGGCTATAATGTAAGGCTGCAAGTGTTCCATCGATTTAATTTCTCACGTTAACATTGGAAACCGTAGATAGAGTTGAAGTCCGAACCTCAGCCTCCCCCACCATATACCAAACACTATATGGCTCCTCAATGTTAGTAGAAAATGTAAAGAGGTTACTGAAATAATTACGATAACACACAAAGTATTGGGAATTTACAATTAACAGACGTATTAGTGTAGTGGTACGCCGCAAGGGAGGGGGTGGCCTCCAATATTATTTGGGACGAAGTGCGTTTGCAGTGCAGCACAATGAAGAAAGGACACCACGCATCCCGCAACTGCCTGCAGTTCTTCTTTATTGCTGACTTGTCTCCCCTAAGCTATCCCTGGGTGTGTTCTAGGTTGTCTGAAAAGTTAATGTACAAAAATATGAATCAAAGATAGAGCGAAAGCATGTGTGCAAAATAGCGAGAAAAGACACAAGTGCAGTCACAGCAAAATCTTGCATTGAGGTCTTGTACATGTGCCTGTACGGCGTATGCAGTTTGTGGGCCATGGAGCGAAATTGTGATCGGAACATGAAGGTATAAATACCTAAGTTTTTACTGCTAAACGCAACTGAAACTCATTCAATTTCACCCACCCGGGAACCTTACTGGCACAAGAAACCCTACAAAGGATTTATTCACCACAAGCTCTGGAGGAAATGACCCCTTTTTAAATCAGAACGTGGCCATAAAAATATCCACAGCGCGCCTAACCCAGACGAAAAGCTGCAGTGCATGGGCTGCACCAAATTCCGCGCGTCCTATTAACATATGTGTCACCTCGCTATTCCACCGCCAATAAAACGCCAAATTAGTCACGCATCTTGAAATAGACTTAGACAGATCTTTATTTAAATGGGCAAATAATGTTTCTTTGAGCAATGTTTAATTAATTTTTCTCAAAGGTACTATCTTAAAGGAATTCTGTAGGTGTCCTATTTTTTGTTGAACATGAATACAATGTTTACACTTTTGCATGTAGTGATGAGCTCTAAAAGTATGCTTTTGGAGGGAAAACGAAATGACGCCTAGACTGGCTATCTGTCGCATAAACTTATGCAGTCTCCCACGTAAGGAAAATCTAACGACCATAACCACGTAAAAGACCAGGTAGGCACGAGGCAGTCAACATGTTTCTCAATATTGGTACAGTTTGGTCTGATTCTACACATTATTAACATCAATACATCGAAGTCGTAGTGTTAAAATTTGGATTGAAGGCCTCAAACGAGCGACTCGAAGAATGCCAGCCACGATACCATATACGATTTAAATGTAAGAGTCAACCAACAGGAATTTAATGGTCTGCATGAATGGAATGCACTAGCGATGTAGTTTATTCTAGAGAATTAAGTTTTCTAAAGTGTGGACTTTCATTCCCTTTGATGAAAAAATAAATTTTAAATGTCCAGGAAAATTTAACTTCAGTAAATTACATCAAGACAATGAACCTGAAAAACAGTTCGACTGAAACCATCTTGGGTTTAGGACTTCAAAATCCATAACAGGAGAACCTGACAGAATAATTCGTCGATAATCTCACGAAGTGATATAAACCTCCCAATCAGAGAAAACAGACAGCCTAGAGAAACGTGTTTTAAAATATGCCATCCTTCATCCCACATATTTGACCACTTTTATTTCACGAACCAGGGAGTTTTTTCTATAATCATGAAAGGTGAGATTTGAAAAACTCTTAGACACTCTAATATGCATTTAATTCATTTTTTTTTTACATTTGGAAAGATTGTAAAACCTGGAGGTCCTACTTTCCCCCTATTGTATTATACACAGTTTTGGCACTTTGTTAGATTATACGCACACGGAAACATTTTTGTTAGATTAAACACACGCCATGTTGTTCGTGTTCAATATTGTTCGCATGCACTTACACGCTCACATCTTGACTCGACCAGAGCTGTGTTTAGTTTCTATTTTTGCCCTTGTATCGAAGGGGATTTTGTCACTTTGTAAGACCAAAATACCTAGAGACCGAGCTTTTTGTCTTTTTTTTAAGAGAATTAAGAAAATAAATAACATTTGACTGTAATGCTCTGCCAACATGTTCCTTGAATCGAACGTACAAAATTAGCTGCAAAAAATCCAGATTGGAAAAATATAGGTTTTCCAGGTTTTTGTCACTTTGTGAGACCATCAATGAATACGTTTTACAATGTTCGATAATAACTAACAATATGTAAATCGCCATGATAAAATGTCACAAAGAGTCAAAGTAGCAAATACCTCAAAATTTTACAAAATAAATGTAGGCCTTGCTAACCAATGATTAAAATCTAATATTCAAGTCAGGCGAAAGCATGATGCCATTTCACACGATGAAGTTCAGCCAAACATGTCCACCGTGGCTTAGGAATAGACGTACAGAAAGGGTTTTTTTCTTAGATGTGACATCCAGGTGCTCAGTCCCTACAAGATTGGCGCTATAGCTTAATGAAATCGGTATTTGGTGTGGTGCCCTATCCGCTTATAGTCCCACTCAGCGGGTCTGCATGTTAATGGCGTTCACAACCAAAGTGCGCATGCACAAATTTGCGCTTATCAACAGCATTGCAACAGGCGGTGCCTGATTTTACCCGCTTTGATAGGAAAATGAAGTATCGTGCGTCTTTGATGATAGGTTTTCAGGGCATTGAGTAAAACAGTGAAACTTTTATACGTTTAATAAAATATTCATTATAAATTACATGTTTCGGTAGTATAATTTCATGCACTGCATCAGAACATGTACGGAAAATTTGATTTAAAAATAACCTCAACATTTTTTTCTTCACTTTACGAAAGTTTTACCAAATTTGATATTTTCTTGGTTATAAAAGCATGTTTGTTGAAAACCTTAGAGTATTTGAATCGGTTTCATGCACATTGCAATCCGTAGAATAAAAACTCTTTGAAAGGAGTTTGACTCTGAACTAAATTTCGCGCAAGGTAGTATCAACACAGACATTTTGTAACAAAAAAATCCGTAACCGATCTAATTTATAATTAATGCAGGTCCAAACAAAACTTTTTTCTTACAGTGCAGACTTATTGCTTTGCCCAACGTTTGATAAAAATGATGATATCCTTGTATTAAACTCAGCAGACTTTTAAGTAAAACACTCGCAAGTTGCGGGTCAAAGAGCAGTTTTGTCCGCGCGTTAATGTGTGCTTTACATGTAGGCCTACAAGCTGTGCTGGACACGTAGACTATGACGTCAGGGTACCGTACTGGACAGTAGGCAGTGGAAGCAACCAACAGGAAAGGTCTCTATTTTGACGATTGTAAGTTATTATATGATATCAATACTGAAAAAAATGGTATACCTTTACAGACAACAATCATCCTACAGTCTAGTTATACTATTTCGGTGCTAGTAATCGATTCAAAAGGTTTGCAGTTATTTTGGTGCTATATAGAAAACGACTCAAAACAGTTTTGAATTGGAATGCACCGTTCTTATGGTACAAATTTTGTGCGGTTCGAAATTATGATTATTAAAAATTCTATCTGGCGGATTCAAAATGATTGCATGAAGTCATTGTAAGTTGTTTAAAAGGAAAGTTACTAATGTCTATTACAAATCTTAAACATGGAAGAAAACTTAAGCTTTTGGACATATTACCGGTTCGACAGATTGCTGAACACATGAGGATTGCTTACCCAAAACCAAGCAATGTTACTCTTCAGAATTACTGACCCCGATTTTACAGAAATTGACGCAACTCAGCCACAAATCTTCATTTAGTGAGCCTGTCTATGGCAAAACAACTTAGGCCTAAGTATTACACGTAATTACTCGCAAATACATTTTGTATCATTTGAATTTCTTAATGCAAAATTCATCTTCTAAACACCTCTAAAAGCCTAACAGCGGACTGCCAATTTAAAAACTCGAGCATGTTAATTTACACCACAATGTTGGAACAAATATCCCAAAACCCACAAAATAGGTATTCTTCCTTATCTGTTGTTTGAGCGTTGTTCAAAGCATCATATGGCTGTTACAAATCGGTCTCTGGTCTCCAGTCTCGTCAAACTGTTTAGAAATCGGCAGCCTCGTCGTGAGTAAAAGCGACCTGCAATTGAGGAGATTTTGAAGGTGAAAGTAAACTTCTTCCACATAAAAAATCCCCAACTGCGTTGTCCGTCTGTGGGTGTGTTGGTGAGCGGGGGTTTAATAGGCCTATTTTGTTCTCACAGAAAACAACCACTCTTATTAATAATGCTGACCAGTTCTTACAAAGTACATAATACAATAAAGATATATGCCCAGAAGTATTCCTGCACATTGGGCTCATATCAACTGGACATTCCTGAATTAAACCATCTCAGCTCCCTGGGGAGTATTCTAGCCCAATGCTGCCATTTTAGGTGCAAATGGCTAAACAAACCATTATTCACCCATTTACTCCTGGGTGGTGAGAGGCACGCAGGGTACAGTGACTTGCCCAAGATCACAACATGCTGCCACTAGCTGGATTCAAACCCCCGACCCTATGATCAGAAGCAACAAGTCCTAACCACTACGCCACATGCCACCTCTAGCATCTTTGAAATGAAAACAGCACCCAGGCAACTCTTTACTTAACGTGTTGGGCATGTCCAGAGCGTTTCATTTCGGTTCTGGGTCCGCCATGGGGCCGAGTTGAGTTTTGAAAAAGGACCAGTCGGGTCCTGCTGTGGTGGTGCTTGGCCAGGATCTATGCAGGCCAAGTGGATCTTGTGTGGTCATGTTCAGACCATTGGGAAGTTGCAAACCCATTGACTCGGATTTGGCTCTGACAGCTGAAACGTCCATTGTGAAAGCATTTTACTCATTTGTGTAGCCAATTTTGTGAATGGCAATTACGGGTAACCTTTGAAGATGGCAAAAGATGACGTATTAATTTGACCTATCCATTGCTATAAACCAATCTTGAACAAAAGAAAAGATGTTGGTCCTACTTACATTGAAGTTTCCGGTATTATCGTCGGTCATTTGCAACATCTCGTTGACCAGCAAACGGTCCCCATTATTACTTATCTTAAAGGTCCCCGTCACACCTGTCCCACATACACAAAATTCAAAAGCCTACTCCATTAATTCCATTACTACTGCTTGGGACTGGCATTAGGGTATTAAACAAAACCATTTCATAGAGAAATCTAAGTACCTCCAAAAACATTTCTATAGGCGAATTTATTCCTTAACACATTATCGTCAACAATGCGGTCTCGTCTGAAATGGTTTGTATTCTACACTTATTCATGTGCAAACGTCATTGACTTATATAAGGAACCCATCCTAAAGCATCCAATAAGGAATAGTCGATTTTTCGGTGCTAGCATGACCAGCATGCCTTTAGTCAGACACTCAATGTTAAGATCTTCGACATCATTTAGTTCCTCGCGACTCGAAACATCCCCGCACAACCGAAGATTAGCAAAATTAGTTGCTGACTATGCAGTCAACAATATCAGTTCTGATTCACTGGGTGGATTCCAAAGTCGAAATACATGACAAAATTTCTCCTCATTCAACAAAAATCATCAGTAACAATGACTTTGATTGCCCTTTTTTCGGAATGATTGATAACTAAGCGACAGGCTGATCTGCCCAAACCATTAAGTAGTAGCAACAAACCATAAATGAGAGGGAATTTGAATTGAACGGTCACCTACCTTCGAATGTGCGGTTCCACATCTTCTTTGTCACTGCTCTGCCATCCCTTACGTCACTGCCCTCTGCCACAATCTCATTGATGACGTCTGCATACATCAGAATGGTATCATGAAGGGTCGCAGCCAGAAAGTTATCCTGCAGTTGGAAAGCACCCTGAATTTATTCTTCATGTGCGTTTGTAGTATTACCTCCAGCCTCGAGTAAACAGGGACAGAAGATATCGGTTTATATAGAGCAACTCCTTATATTTGAGAAATTTGGGAATGCCTTGAAATAATCAGTATATATACCCATCAGCACAGAGCTAAGGAAACACCTTTAAGCCTTTTTTGAGAGAGAGAGAGAGAGAGAGAGAGAGAGAGAGAGAGAGAGAGAGCAAAGACTGTCCATGCTTATAGCAGCACCGGTAGCTGCTTCCACTTTGTCTGCACCACATTATCAAATCAAACTTTTTTCCTGTATTCTGGCGTGTACCTATTCTTGAACAGATCCCGTTTCCAAGGAGGCTAACTTTGTTCCCAGGGCCACTTAGTAACCTCTCTCTTTCTGCCCCCGAATTGGATAGCACACTACACAAGTCATTTCTAGACCATGTATTCGGTGTTACATTGTTTCCTACGATTAGCCTAATGAGGGGGGAAAAGCGATCAATATGGTGGCATCACGCTCAACGAATTGCTTGAACTTGATGAGTCAGGAAATTGGTTGAGTGTGTTTGCAGTGAGATCACTGTGCAGTCAGATAACTAAGTGAAATTCCAGGAAATTCCTGCCTTGGATTTTGAACTTTTGGTTTTGGCCCTTGTTGTTGCTTGTAGTCACTGTCGCCGGCCTAAAGTTCAGCACTGTAGTTAGAAACTACTACATATACAAGATGGCCTCTCTCTATGAAGGCTTTACAATTTTGAATCTTGACTTCAAAATAACCACTGGAGCCAAACTGCTCCAAATGGCATGGAAATAGCCAAATGCAACAGAGCTCTTGAACCCATAGCGACGTTACCATCACTAGAATAGCAGAACCAGTGCCCCCGGATAAAAGATGGCACACTCCTTTTATATACCACTGCATCCACCATTTGCACACACCCAGCACAAGCATTCATTCAAACAAAAGACCTCCTTGGCTTAAGAAATAACTTACCCTTGTTCCCCCCGGTACAACTCAAACCAAAGAAACCAAAAGCCCAAAATGCTAATTACACGTAAAGGAAGTTAAGCAGAATGAAAAGAAATAGCCCTCTAACTTTAGTTGGTATTCAAAACTGGGGATAAAACATTTGCACATGAATACAAGACCTAAGTTGGCTGAGCTCTGACAACCAGATTTTATTCAAATTTAACTTGCAAATGGCTTATTGACCACTAGAGACCATGGTTCTAAACCATGGTTCGTTGGTTCTAATTTGCGCACAGAGTTTTAGGGCAACAGTGGTAAAAGATTCCCATAATTTCGTGGAAGTCTAAACTGCGTTCTCAAAGCAAAAGAGGGTGGCATACCTCGATCTGAGCCTTGCCGTACAAAGTCTGCTGGCGTTCCCGTAACTCGCTTTGAAATTGCTTGTAAGCTTCGTCCGGCTTTGGAAGTTCTGGGTGCAAAACCACCAGCGCCTTCATGGCTTCTGTCTCTTCCTCGTTGAGATTTTGAAACTGAAACGGGTAGAGAAATGCAGATTTTGGGCGGTTGGTGCAAGAGACAACTGCTTTTGAACCGTCCTCACATATCGGCGTATTTGAACTGGATATTTGGAATGACAGCTGGACGGTGGACATGACCGACTGATGTGACACTTTTTAAAGCTGAAAATATTTCTACTTATACTAATTGTCTTGAATTTTGTGGCTTAAACCTATATTCTTTTGTGATGTTTTCATAAAGATGTAGTTCTACGAAGAAGGATATTTTTCTGCAATATGTCTTATACTGTAAAGTTTCCCCACATCACAGATACAAGGTCTTATTTTTTGAAACTGAAAAACTGTGTATTTAAAATTCAATACGAGAAAAACGTTCGCAGTTTGGGGGTCCGGCGGACTCAAGACAACAGTCCTCAGTTTCATTTTTAGTATGACACAGCACGTGGGAGTCGGACTAACTACGACTGTTTGCTGCTGTATAGCACGTGCACAATAAAGAAGGGCTCAAAGCCTACCAGTCGGCGTTGGTGTGTTCTCTGACAACGATGCTGATTATCAATCGGTTTCGTCTCACTCTTACGATGAGAATAGTCTTGACAATGACGTCAACAGCACTGAAGCCGTTTCGCCAAACCAGTTTTAGTCTGAACTAGGAAGCAGATGCAGTTATAAGAATGGTGGTATGGTCCAGGGAGAACATGACAAGACTTCAGGACCCCGACAGTGTGTTTTATTGCGCAACCTCGTGCACGATTACTGAATGGACTGCGCCGCGCGGTGTGATTCAAAATAACCCGCCAGAACTACTCATATCGTGTCATAAGTTTGGCCGATTCACACGCTTCCCGCCTCCCTCGATGATTTCATACAGATGATGACTTGTTTTAGTAATCCAGCCCGGGAGATACGGTTCTAAAAATCATTTTAATAATCATCGGATGACAAGAATCCTGTTTATTTTAGTTTGGCCTAAATTGANGAGAGAGAGAGAGAGAGAGAGCAAAGACTGTCCATGCCTATAGCAGCACCGGTAGCTGCTTCCACTTTGTCTGCACCACATTATCAAATCAAACCTTTTCCCTGTATTCTGAGCCCGGCGTGGAACTATTCTTGAACAGATTCCGTTCCAAGGAGGCTAACTTTGTTCCCAGGGCCACTTAGTAACCTCTCTCTTTCTGCCCCCGAATTAGACAGCACACTACACAAGTCATTTCTATACCATGTATTCGGTGTTACATTGTTTCCTACGATTAGCCTAATGAGGGGGAAAAAGCGATCAATATGGTGGCATCACGCTCAACGAATTGCTTGAACTTGATGAGTCAGGAAATTGGTTGAGTGTGTTTGCAGTGAGATCACTTGAAAGTCCGTAGGCTTCACTTTGAATATCAAGTTAGCGTTCAAAATGCTTATTTTAACGTAGTAACGATTTCTAGGTCTGGTTGCAAGAATACTGATTACGCATATTAAGTTACCATGTTTCTAGTCGTCTTTCTTTTCCCTTCTATATTATAAGAGATGCTACAAATTTGATGGATAATATTTTAATATTTAACCTTTCACAAATCGTATTTCTTGATCCTTAATAACATAGCGAATTGGTTATACCAGACAGACCGCTAAACGCCGGTCTACTCCCGATAAAAATCCAAAGTTTTGAATATACAGAAGATTTATTACAAAAGTGGTTGAGCCGGTGAAGCCGTGAGGGACACATTGCTCGACATCTGAGCAGTGCTGCATATAGAGGGAGAAGTGCCAACTTCAAACGTGGAACCAAAAATGTGTTCACGTGTAGCGTTCAACATGCAGCTAATGTGTGCAAATTGTTCATGTTCACCGACGCAATATGTTGCACCTCTTCCTATTAATAGCTCTTCATCTGGGGAACAAGGCTGCACGGAAGAAGGCTGCAATAAGCCTTTTGCGAGTTTACTTTGACCCAAAATTGGTACACTGAACTTGAATTCTCCTTACTAAAAGCTTTTGCTTAGTTACATAAGAGACGCCTTGCAACAGTCCACTGTTCTCAATGGATAAGGAGAGCGCAAAGGAACCAGTCTATTCCAGAGATGGTGGTTACTATGCGAAAGCTTGCCCCGAATCACGAGGTATAGCAACAGTGTCTTTAGTCTGGGGAATTCAAAACGTTATATTTATGTGCAGTTAGATAACTAAGTGCACCAGATTTTATTCAAATTTAACTCGCAAACGGCTTATTGACCACTACAGACCATGAAAAAATACTCGTTGGTTTTAATTTGCGTACAGAGTTGTAGGGCAACAGTGGTAAAAGGTTCCCATAATTCCGTGGAAGTTTAAACTGCATTCTTAAAGCAAGAGATGGTGGCATACCTCGATCTGAGTCTTGCCGTACAAAGCCCGCTGGCGTTCCCGTAACTCGCTTTGAAATTGCCTGTAAGCTTCGTCCGGCTTTGGAAGTTCTGGGTGCAACACCACCAGCGCCTTCATGGCTTCTGTCTCTTCCTCGTTGAGATTTTGAAACTGAAACGGGTAGAGAAATGCAAATGTTGGGCAGTTGGTGCAAGAGACAACTGCTTTGAAACCGTCCTCACATACCAGCGTATTTGAACCGGATATTTTGAATGACAGCTAGACAGTGGACGTGACCGACTGATTTTACACCTTTTAAAGAAAATATTTCTACTTAATTTCATTGTCTAGAATTTCGTGGCTCAAACCCATATTCTTTTGTGATGTTTTCATAAAGATGTAGTTCTACGATGAAGGACATTTTTCTGCAATATGTCTTATACTGTAAAGTTTCCCATGTCACAGATACAAGGTCTCATTTGTTGAAAGTGAGTGTGTATTTGAAATTCAATACGAGGAAACGTTCGCAGTTTGGGGGTCCGGCGGACTCAAGACAACAGTCCTCAGTTTCATTTTTAGTATGACGCAGCACGTGGGAATCAGACTAACTACGACTGTTTGCTGCTGTATAGCACGGGCACAATAAAGAAGGGCTGAAAGCCTACCAGTCGGCGTTGGTCTGTTCTCTGACAACGATGCTGATTATCAATCGGTTTTGTCTCACTCTTACGATGAGAATAGTGTTGACAAGCCATTTCGCTAAACCAGTTTTAGTCTGAACTAGGAAGCAGATGCAGTTATAGAAATGGTGGTATGGTCCCGGGAGGACATGACGAGACTTCAGAACCCCGACGGTATGTTTTATTGCGTAACTTCGTGTACGATTACTGCATGGACCGCGCCGCGCGGTGTGATTCAAAATACCCCGCCGGAACTACTCGTATCGCGTCATAAGTTTGGCAGATTCACACGCTGCCCTCGATGATTTCATACAGATGATGACTTGTTTCAGTAATCCAGTCCGGGAGATACGGTTCTAATAATCATTTTAATATTCATCGGATGACAAGAATNCACAAATATCCTCCATCGTTGAACAACATCTTTAATGATTTTGTTTAATTTTAGTGGCACATACGTCTATTGTTCAAAGACCCACTAAAAGGCATAAAGCATGTGGTTTCTTACTTTTTCGTGTATGGTTAATAAATAGATCAACTGGCTTCACCATCGGCGACAATTTTATGGCAATTAAATGATGCTCCCCCCAAAAAAAAAAATTCCGACTCCCCACCAAAAAAATATCCGGATATGGTCTTGTAGCTAGTTACCTGGGAACTCGTTTGCCAACTCTCTTTCTCGACAGGGTACCAGTACAGAAACGTGTGTGAGTCCGCCTTGTAGCCCAGACGGTAGGCGTGAACCATTATGTCACGGACAGGGGAGGTGCAAATAAATATCACTGAAAACCAAACAAACAAACTGATATCGAAAAGGCAAAAGAGATACCTATCATGTGTGTTGTTACACAAAAGTGCAATAGATACTACTGTTAGTAGGAAAAATAGGTAGCTGGGCAAATCAGTTTGTATACATACAGAGCTGCACCTTTTTTCCTTTGATATCCCGATCGTGCTGGACCTATGATGTGTTGTGATGGTAGTGAATGGATAGTGTTGTGACGTTAATCTACCTATTCAAGATCAACTAGTCAAGCACGCATCGTTCGCACATGCGCTTACACGTGGTTGAAGCTGCTCGTAGGAATATTTAGGCTCACCGTGGCCACGGCGGTCCACACATGGTGGTATTGTTTACATCTAGTGCAATCCAGTCACGTGGGTAAAAACGGTCTATCATCATAGGAACAGTAGAGCATGAAACTATAAAGGCTCACGTGGCCGCCATCTTGCGGGCAAATATACTTTTGTTGCACAGGATCAGCTGGGCCTAATTGCACAATGCTGTTTAGTGTGAAACTAATTCTGCGCTTACGAGGCACCGTTAGCACAGAATCTATTTCATGGCTCCGTAATCGAGGATTCTACGCTTAAAACGCTAGCGCAGAAATTCGGCGCTTTATGGGCCGATTTAAAATGGCGATCGGTCGCAGCCGCCAGTCACCATTTTCGAGAAAGAAGACCATGCATGATTCGCGACCTACAAAATCCTTTCCTCAGAACAAATTTGGACCAGGTACAGATTTAAACCTGAAGAAAAAAACCCTCGTTGTTAAGTTTGTTCAAAATAAAGGGTTCTCAAAGGTTTGTCGCTTTTTATTGTAAGAGGTTGATAAAGCAATGTCCCTTGCACTAGTAAACGAGGAACATTTTTTCTTCGGTTTTACGCTTCCAGCCTACATTACTCCTAGTAGTAGACGGCAAATGCCCTTTTTTCAGCAGACGATTGTAACACGCGCGTGCGCATTGACAAATATTTCCCGCTCACCGTAGGTAGCAAGATTTTTTTTAGGCCGTGAAAGAATTGGTTGCTATCGTAAGCGCCCATTTTCGCTTATGGTAAGCAAATTGACCCTGTGCAAAGGAGGTTTCGCCGTGGAACAAAAGAGCTACCTTGCAATGGGTTCCATGCAAAACTTCGTTACTATGGGCCTCTACCTACTGTCTCTGCGTAATGGCGCGTACGCCTGCCGATTCGTTTCCAACAAAGCTCTGTCAAGGAGAATGGACGAGGAACTGTAGATTCTTGCATGAATCTACAGTTCTGAGTCTATTCTCTGACTTAAACTATTTCCCAAACTATGTTTGTTACACGAACATGGAGGCCCGAGTCTATGCCCTTAGCCCTCGCCTGAGTGCACACCTTTGTTCCATTAATTAATTAACGTGCACGAGTTTTGCTAGACACATACTCGCTTCTGTTTCTCTTGCGCCTTGGAGTCATTATCACACGTGTGTCATTGCAGCCAAACCTATCGGCCTAAAACCACCACAGGACTCTATGAGATTGAGGGATGCTATATCAACTTCATGAGGGTATTTTTGCAGTCGACACTCAGTGCTGGATATATATACCTGTACTCTCTTCATCTTGCACCTTGGATTCATTATTATACGTGGGCCATTGCAACAAAACCTTCCTGACTAAAACCACCACAGGACTCTGTGAAATTGAGGAATGCTATATCAACTTCACGAGAGTATTTGTGCAGTCGACACTCAGTGCTGGATATATATACCTGTATTCTCATCATCTTGCACCTTGGATTCATTATTATACGTGGGCCATTGCAACAAAACCTTCCTGACTAAAACCACCACAGGACTCTGTGAAATTGAGGAATGCTATATCAACTTCACGAGAGTATTTGTGCAGTCGACACTCAGTGCTGGATATATATACCTGTGTTCTCATCATCTTGCACCTTGGATTCATTATTATACGTGGGCCATTGCAACAAAACCTTCCGGACTAAAACCACCACAAGACTCTATGAAATTGAGGAATGCTGTATCAACCTAGTGAAAGTATGGTTATCGAACCACTTTACAAACCACTCAAAATGAGCTTCACTGATAATTACATGTTCTTATCTGTGAATCATTCCCAAATGCCCCTCACTAAGATTGTGTTTCCTTGGGAGACTGAGCAACTTGGCATTCAAATGACGATGCCAATTTTGGAGTTCAATAATAACATTTAAGAATTTCTATATAAAGCGCACATTTCCACCTAAATTACTTATAGCGCTACAAATATTAGAAATACAAGAAAATTTACCGGCTAGCTTTTCAAGCATGATTATATATATGTGCCGGACCGTACACTCGCGGACAAGCGATTCTAACAGATCTGTTACCTCACAACCGGTATGATCTTGGAACAACTAGAAGATATACCCGAGTTTGTGTCAATTCAATTAAGCTATAATCCGACATTATAAGAAAAGAGTGGGCAAAACGTAGAAACAGAAAAGTAGGCAAAACACATCAAAATAATTCCTCATTGAAAGGTGAAGAGAAAATTCAAATCCTTGTTGAAAATTTTGCTTTATAAATCATTGATCGTGAAAACACGAGGGATACCTACCTATGTCATTTTCTATGGAGAAAGGCAAACTTACACAATAGGGCCGGGATTGGGCGTTCCAGTTAAGCTATTACGAGGCCCAGTCAAATCAGTCTCCCGACAGCACAAAGGCATGTTTTTTTTGCCCAAGCCAACTCTTCGGTCACACTTTGTATGAGCGAAACGAGGGGAGGGGTGGACGTGAGGATGCTTTCCTCGTTGATACCGAATTCCTAAGACAATAACTGTAGGTTTCTTATGAATCTACAGTTGTTGTAAACAACAGAAACCATCGATTCGTAGCGAATCTACCGTAATTGTTTTGATACCATAATTGTAGATTTCATAAGTTACAAATCCACAGTTTGCTGTAGATTCATTAGAATAATTTACACTTTGATCGAAGGAGTGTCGTCACAGAAATACATGCAGTTTAAAGATAAAGAAAGCAGGCAGGCATACACCGGGCAGGGGTTTTCTATGTCTTTTTCTTCATCTAGCCAGAATAGATTTCGTTCCCAAGGCGGGGTTGAAATAAAAAAAAAAAACAAAAAAGACCAACGAAAGGTTTTCGATGATTTACCTATGAAGTACGATGGAGATTTGGCCTACAAGGGTTTTACAGTTTTGGACTAGTAAGAAAGGGAACATTTCTAGATTATGTTTATATAGTTGTCAAGCAAGTGTAGTGTTAATTGGTACAAGAGTCTCATGATAAAATTATTGAAATGATTTGGCTCTGGTGCATTATCGTTGCAATATTGTTCTTGTTTGATTAATGTTTTACATCTGAGAATATACAAGATTTGAGGCTTGGAGAATTTGGGGGATGGTATCATCCTCACTGAATAAATTTTTTGAATTAATAGTCAAATATCAGCAAAAATAAAAATATAAAAAAGGTTGCACACTGCTTACAGACCAACTAATTAACACGGGGCCGGACGTTTCAATAGTATCAGAATCTGTCCCAAATGTCAAAAGCTTTGAGACTCTCCTATCGAAACGAAGCATTCACTACTGGCATGTGCATTTGATGTGAAATATAATATTTTCTTGATGTGCAGTCCAGTCTATGCTTGAGATATGAGGATATGTTTTTGGTAAAGTAGCACAAGGAAGGTTGTTTGGAGAGGGTTCTCGTTGGCAGGCTCAACCCCTCACATCAACAAGCAAAATTCTCATGTAAAGACAATCCTAAAATTTAAAACATCCTGAGAATTGAGAGTTTACCGACAGGTAATCTGTTTGAGTTGCTCAAAAATGTTTTGACAGGAGCTTCAACCCCCAGAGTGCCTTCATCGTAAAGAGCCACACTCACCATTACTCCACGAGGCAGCTTCCCTCAGTGCCTGATCAAGAGTGTTATAGTTGTCAGCGAAAACCTCGATCACAGTGACCCCAGCAGCTTGAAGGGCAGCGGTAATAGAGGGTGGAATGCTGTGTTCAAAGAAACGCGGCCTCTCGAATCCCCGTAGCACCACACAACTTTGCTGTTGGAAAATAGAAGCTAGGTATTTGCTCACCGACGTCGTCGCGGGGAATGTGCGGGTCAGAGTTGCGAAACGCGCCTTGTCTGCAAGATGAAAAGAGCTTTCAGCGGCGGTGATCACTGGAAGGTTCCAATAAGCTGCCATGTCAGCTACGGCTGTCATTTCACCGCTCTTGGCTGGACCAAGGAAAGCATCTACTCCATGGTCGTAGTACATGGACGCGGCTAGTGCCCCTGAAGACCGCACAGGGCGTGTGCAGCACTCATCGGTGCTGATGTAGGACATGTTAAAGTTCTGGTACTGACCCGTTTCCAAGCGTTTAGCGACGGTCTCAAAGGCGATTTGGGAGGCTGGAAAAAAGTAGAATGTACCAATAAAGGTGTCATGATGGGGCGAATAGTGCAGCATGCCCACTTTGACATCAACAGTGGCACGAACTACCACCAAGAAAAGCGAGAATGTGTAAATCAGTGCTGCAGACATTGTGCCCGTGATTACACCCTCGTGCTATAGCGATGCGTTATATCTACCTTTTCCTTTGGAAACACGTGGCCGACTGTTAATGCCAACTTTTTGCTTTTGCAGAGCAATTACTAAATGAGTTCTTTTTGAATGGTACCTGGATTTTTTATTCAAATCCCCAAACATGCAGTGCCAGGCCAGCTAAATTAAAGCTATAAATTGTTGGTCTGCATATTTGCATAAACTTAATATTTACATATCACCGACTTGTTAATTTGATCGCGTGAGACTAGATTGCCCTTGCGCACCAATACGATACGTTGAGTAACAAAGTTGTAGCGACGAAGTTTTAGCAATAGACCACGTTGTGTTTGATGTTGCTTGGCCCACAGGCAAACATGGTCCCAGTTTAAGAAATACACGGCAGGACTGTGTCGTTTTATTTCTACCTTGAACTGAGAGAGTGTTTGTCTGTAGGCCAAGCTACATCAAAACAAAGCGGTCTATTGAAGCGTGTGATACTGCATGTACTATGTACATGTACACTGCACGTGTCAGTGTTCTGGCGATGACGTCATCCAATCAGCCTAGGAGGGCAAACAGGCAAAAGGGGATCTTTTGTGGGCGGGGAAACGTAGGATCTTTGTATTCATTTGGGGGTCACAAGTAATGGGGTAAATATTAAATCTACGTGTTTTTGAAAGGGTTACGTATTTATTATTTTTTGAAAATACTACACGTGACCTAAATGTTTTCTATTTCTGTTACACTTTCACACTGTACTGTGATGTGTCTTATATAGACCTCATGAGTCCTGCACGCAGCTGGGTCGCGCTATACGTTAAGTGCATATCGCAGGGGCGGATCCAGGAGTTTTTTCCAGGGGTTGTCAGGCCGGACGTTTTTCAGTTGTCTCATTTTTGCGGACAAACACAAACGATGAAACATTATACATAAAAAAGTTATCGTTGTAAGATCAAAATGCAACCTAAAATGTTTCATCATGCTCAGCCAAAGCAAACCTTTAGGTCGACACCTTGGCTAGTCATGACATTGCCTGTGTCACTAAAGTTTCGAGAGTTCCTCAAGGTCATACCAGTTCCATTCCCTCTGATGGAACTTCAGTCTCCACCGGACTTCACTGTCACCACCTTACCCAGCGTACTCAAACACAACCAGACTGGTTTTGCGATAACGCTGATATCTTGCTCTCAGCCATGGAAGCTTTGGTCAAGCCTTGCGTGGCGCCCAGATGCTCATTTTCAACGCGAAAAAAAGCAAATGCAAGTGGCGAAGCCATGGGCGCCTTTCTATTGTGTTCCATGTGTGCCAAAGGCCTTGGCCCACACTTCAGCGATTTTTCAGCGTCGCTTTTTTTTTCGGCATCCCATTTTTGTCCCGCTATAGCATTCTTTTTCGGCGTCGTTGTCTCCAGTCGTCCCATTTGGGGGCATTGGATTTTTTTGTCTGTTTCGATTTTTTTTCGGTGTGGCATTGTTTTTTGGGGTCGCATTTTTCGGAACGGCATCGCATTTTTGGCAAGGCGTATCTTTCTTTTAAAGAGCCTCAGATAAGGCCAACTGTTATTGTGTCGCCTTCTTGCATTACGTTGTACGTCGCGTAGTGCCGTCGCCCGTCGCGTCGTGCTGTCTTACATCCTTCATGGTGTTTATATAGAGGATGCCGACACTGTTTTCTTTCACTTCCGTCCCCTGTCCTTGCAAAATACATGTCCTGAGTTGCAGGAGTTGATTTTCCTTTTTTCTTGTTTCCTCCATTCATCAATTTGAATTAGTTTCTGTCATATTTATTTGAGAAAAAAATGAAAAAGAGCAAATAGAAAATCAGTGTATGTAGGAACTAGTCTCACGTAATAAGTGTAAGCCCCAAATTCGTCACAAGCAAGCACGTACTAATGATTGATGTAATGTATCTTAGAATGGATTTACAAATAATTATTAGAAAGATCAGAATTAGAGCAGGAAAAGTTAAAACGTTATGGCTGACGTTAATGTTATTCGTTTCCTGGAGACAATGTTGACAGTTGTGACGGTCTTTGTAATTGTATTAAGTTTTTAAAAGTCCCCAAAACAAAAGCATTTTTTTCAAAAACTCACTCTTAATGAAAACAAAACGTTGACAAAATTATCCTATGCATAATACATGCAATTGTTTCATGAATACGGCCTGGCTTGCCAGTTTCATGTTTATTTAATGTCCATATGTTTTCTAAAATAATGAAAAACGTATTAAATGCAACGATTTCTGAGCGTCATGACCTTGGTTTGCTAGCTAGCTGTATATCTAATTCTGGTCCCCAGTGTTGCATGCCGATTGAAATAATTACGCCTCCCTGAAACTAAGGTTTATTCAGATCGACTGGAGTCGCTCTTTGGTTTGCTTTGACTCTGGTACGGCAGTCCAAACCCGGTGTTAAGTTAAGATACTTAGACCCAACTTTGCATTTTGACCCACAATTTGTTTGACTCACTTTAGCAAAGCATTGTTTTCATTTGTTTCAAACATTTCTGCTTTGTGTGGTAACTTCGCACGTTTTTATAGGTATTTCATTCAGTGCATCCATAGTCTTGAAAGGTAAGACCTCCTCACCACCTGCGTCGATTCTGCCAGCTTCCAGTGGCGGGACAAATTCTATGAACAAACAGCTGGAACCTCCATGGGATCCCCTATATCCCCGGTTCTGGCTGACATATTCATGGAAGAGTTTGGGCAGATCGCCATCGCCACAGCAGACCACCGCCCAAAGATCTGGCTCCGGTACTACAAGGAATAATCTTAGTAATCATTTTTATTACTGGGTAGCTACAGGAAATAGATGTCTGATATGAGAGAAAACTTCAACTTCAGTGAATATGATCAATATGATGCACACAAAAAATAGTTTGACTCAAACCATTTTGGATCAGGACTGTAAACTTTGGAACAGAAGATCCTGACAGTATATGTAATACAATATTTGATAATCACTAACAATATCACTAAATCTCACAAAAGGTCAAAGTAGCAAATATCATAAAACTGCACAAAACAAATATGCCTTGCTAACAAATGACTCTCACAAAAAATCTAATATAGAAGTCAAACGAAAGCATGATGCGCTCTCACACGGTGAAGTTCGGCCAAAAATGTCCACCGTGGCTCGGGAAAAGACGTAGAGAAGAAAAAGAATTCTTGGATATGACATCCGGGTGCTCGATCCAAACAGGATTTCCGCTGTAGTTCATTGAATATGTGTTGGGTGTTGGTGCCCAATCTGTGCTTATAGTCCAACTCCACACGTCTGTACGTTCATGGATTCAGAACCAAAGTGCACATGCGTAAACTTTGTTGATATATCAACAGCACAGCACCAGGCGGTACCTGATTTCGCGTGCTTTGATCACATTATGGGTCTTCAGGAAATAGCGCAAGAGTAATTAAATGTTTTCTGACAAATTGAAAATTCATTACGCATTTTCTTATACGCATCTTCTTAGTAATTACGTGCAATTCGTCAGAAAGTATTTAAGCACTCCCATTATTTTTCTCTGGTAAGATAGGTTTACCTAGCTATAAAAGGCAAATTTACTGAAAACCAAAGAATGCCTGAATCGATTCATGCAGAAATTTTAAATCCGCAGTATATAAATTTTGCAAAAGGAGTTTGAATTTGAACCACATTTTCACGCCAAGTAGTATGAAACATACATTTGTTAATTAAGGAAAAATCCGTGACAGATCGAATTTATTTATGTATGTCCTAAAATCTTATTCTTACAGTACATGGTTAATGATTTACCAAAAGTTAAAAAAGGATGACCTTATTATACACTGATGTAACGGCGGACCTTTTTAAGTGAAAGACGACGAGTTGCGGGTGAAAGCGCAGTGTATGCTCAAACACAATTTTCTGCAATTTTGTACTCTTCTTCAATGTAATGAAATATCTTTCACTTTCCTATAGGGTTAAAGGCATTTAAAAATGCACTTTTCTAAACACTTAAAATTATCCATGTTTTCATGGACAACTGAGAGAACTGTTGCTGTGACGTCATCCTGTGAAGACATACGCCAGTGTAAAGCTCTTTCAAGGGCAGTGTTGAAATAAATGTTGTTAAACATGTATAAACACGTTATGCACCAACAAAAAGTGTAGATTGAGATCTCCGCCCATGATTTGAGTGCACCGTTTGGGCAATATAATTGTCGACGATTCAAAATGACCCAACATGTTAAAAATTCTATCCGGTGGATTTAAAACAAGACATCGATGCATGAAATCGATGAAAATGATGTAAAAGAAAAATCACTGATATTTACAAATCTTACAAATGGAAGAAAAATTAATCCTGTTTGTGGTTTCAAGTCTATGTTATTGTTCGGTAAATTAGTCTTTCTCATTTTGATATTCCAGAAAGTCAGTCTTTAAAAAAAATTGTGTTACAAACGTCGTCTCCGATGCTCGCATGGCAAGAAACCGTTGTTGTCTGCTTGGAAATAAAGTGTGCATGCGCACTTATAATGAACGTTGTCTCTATGGGCCATGAACAGGTGTAAGATGACACTCACAACATATCGACGTTCAGATAGAAATCATGCAAGATGGAGAGGACAGGAAGACATCACGACGTGAGGGGCGACGTTAGGACCTGACGCACAACTAGTTCGAGTTAACTAGTTAACAGGGAACAAATTTTCAGTTAGGTAGAAAGGGTACATGCAAAGTGGATAACCTGCGTTGCCCTGGATATCAAACATGACGTAGGCCTAAGTGTAAAGGCGAATCCTTGGAAGAAACATCCCGGGGTTTCAGAAAAGGAAATTTTCCTATTCATAACAGTGTGTTCCCTAAACGATAATACAAGAGAATAGTTTCCATTTTAAGGATAAAATGTCACATGGTGGTTTATATGATTGCCACAGATTGCCACAATCTCATTGATAATGTCGGCATACATCAGAACGGTATCGTGGGTGGCAGCAGCTAGAAAGTTATCCTGCAGGTAGAAAACACCCTGATCTTCATGTGCGTTTTTAAATGTATTACCTCCAGTCTGAAGGAAGGAGGGAGAGAAAATAACGGTTTTTAAAGACGAGTGCATTATACAAGTCATTGACAAATTTACAAATGCCTTGAAATAATCGGTGTATACTTTAGCACAGAGCTAAGGAAACATGT